CAGCTAGCTTAATCACTGGTAATCACAAGAAGTAGGTTTGTATGACCGAAAGATAATTGAGCTGATTTTTGATCGTGTATCATGCTTGGCCTCAATAGTAGAATCATACTATGACCGCCACTCCTATATATATATATATATATATATATATATATATACCTTGGGGAACACGAGGCGAGTTTAATATCCACACCAACCAATTGTTCCCACTCATGTTTCTTTACTCTTTTAACGTTTATTCGGTAACAATGCGTGATTAATTTGGACTGGATGTTCGTGTAACATTTGTGCTCAGGTGAATCATCAGGTGCCTTTCAAGCTCCTTCCATCTAACGACCATGCTTATCTGCTGCCTTTTATGTGGTTTGTGTGCAAGCATCAGGTATCACAATCCTAACCATATTTTCAACTATATCCCCAATCCAGTGTTTGCTGTTCAGTTCTCCTGAGACATGCAATTCGGTGCTCTCGCTGATTCGGCTTTATCGACATGAAGCGATGCGGGTGTATACGGACAAGATGTTAGATGTGGCCGACACGGAACTAGCCATGAAACACATAACCAACGCGTTGACTTCACAATTCCCCGAGGTGGTCGCGGCGGATATCACAGCTGAAACGCTTGTCTACTGCAGTTTCAACAAAGGGCTGTCCGGTGAACGTGCCTACAGTGCTGTGGGATCAGTGGAAGAAATCAGTGAAGTGGTGATCAATGCGTTGAACACGTACAATGACAATTTTGCAGTGATGAATCTCGTACTTTTCGGCGATGCGATCGCCCATGTGCTGAGAATTTGTCGTATTTTGGAAATGCCACGCGGCAGTGCGCTACTCATCGGGATCGGAGGTTCGGGGAAACAGTCATTGTCCCGTTTATCCGCCTTTATATCAGGTTTTGAGGTGTCTCAGGTTGTGCTACGCAAAGGCTACTCACAGAACGACCTGCGTAACCATATGGCTCAACTATATTTAAAAGCCTCGCTGAAGAATATGCCGTTCGTTTTCCTTATGACTGACGCACAGGTGAGTGGGATAAAATGATGCGAATGTGCCATAGGAAAGTTGTCAAAAATCAATCACACCTTCAGTTAACACTAACTCATCACTCCAATACCCTTACTTCTTAAAACACGATTTTTTGGTAGCTGTGATCCTCAGAGTAGCAAAAAGAGGAAAATTAACAAGCTTATGTGACGTAACGATTCGAAGAGTTATTCCGTAAGCGACACAGTCAAAGCTGGAGCGTTTCGATTGGAAACAGACCCCTATTCCTAGAGGCTCTGTTGATCGTAATTACATGGCACTACTTATCGTGATCCGCTACAGTGGATTATAATGACCTTGTGAGAAATGTATTTTTTCACCTTGACGTCTCACCTCGTTGATGATATTAGGCTATTTTCGGTCAACAGATAGTCTAAGACTGTTGTATCCGTAGTGGTGGCCGAGCTATTGATTACACCTGCACTGAGCCTGCCCGACTACGCGGTAGGGAGAAGACAGAGGACTGGGGACACGGCTGTATTGCCAGAACAAAACATACAGAGCGTCTGCGTAAATATATATAGGATGACTAATTGGCCAAATATGCTCCTTCACTTGTTCGCTCCGTATGTTCCGTTCGTGAACATTCTCAGGCCCATTACGCTGGTCGTGTGCTGTTAAGCCGTTTGGTGAGAGCCGCCAACTCACCTACTTTCCGGACGTGTCGTACGATGGTGGCCTTGGAGATGCGTCACTCTCTGCACATGTACTTTTTCTTCTGTCTGGGCGCGCCCTGACAAAGACCGAGAATTTACAAGCACCATATTTTGTTTTCGTAGTATTTTCGGTCCCTTTTGCCCTCTTGTAAATCAATTCGATCAGCTAACCAATTCACTATCCGCACCAAGGAAGGTTAACAGATTATGCCATTTTAGTGGTCTCCATTGCGATGAAAATGAAAGAAACGCCAAAATATATGTTTGTATGTGGTTGGTAAGATCTTCATTATGAGAACAGGTAAGCAATATTAGGAAATGTGGTCGAAATGCATCTACTTGTCTGAAGTCGAAACATGCAGTTAGATATTATCCACAGCTTCCCATCGAAATACGAAACCATCTTGTGAGAGGATAGGCTCATAATAACGGTTTGCACGTGCTCCTTGTGGTACTTGTACGCTGTAAAGTTTACACATGTTTAAGGTTGTCTCGTACGAGTACTTCCAACTTTCTCGCAACTAAGTGATAACTGTACATCCGGACCTTGGTTTTCACCACGTTGACTCTACGCTTAGCATGATTACATGTTGATACATTTGGTAGCTTGCGGTGCCCGTCACATAAGGAAACTGATGCACCAGAAGTAACAAAGAGGAATTTGTCAGTTTAAACTTAATAATTCGGGCATATTTGAGTGATTCGTTTTAGCACATCCATGGGGACATCAAAATGTTTTCCTCTGTACTTGGTCACTGAATCGGAGGTGCCAGTCAATCCGGTAGTTGCAGGCTATCCGCTTTTTGCTCGTAAGTCCTCCAGGGCTATAGTTCACTTAGGCATATTTCAAGGAGTGGCGTTCGCATGGCTTATGTTGTGGTGTATTGACGCCATTTTGGCAGAGCTTAGTTTGAGACTAAAACACAACATGTTCATATTCCGTGTACAAAAACCGTATGTTTATGCCGGTACAACAATACTCACCTGATTTTTACTTTGTGATCAATACGAGCAATGGACATCTTACCAGTTTATTCTATGTGCTTTCGTACGAGGATTTTAGGTTGTTATCTATCGACATCATCCATCACAAGCAAGAGCTGGCATCTGAGTGAATAGAAGACAAATACGATGCCTAGTCAATCAGTCAGACCCAACAGTGCATAGGTGCTTAAAAGGCTAAAGCCCAGGGCGGTACATCACAGCTCTGCGAGACTCATACCTAAGACGATGGGCACCATAGCAGTCAGAAATTCCTGATGATGAACGGGTTGAACAAAGCCATGGTTTTGACGTAAAAAAACTCGTCCACCCAACAAACACCTTCACTTTCTAGTGAAGAGACAGGCAGTCGAGAGTGGGTAAGTGGGAAACCATGAAGAAACTTACAGAAAGAACCCTTATCAAATTCAGATTGCGCTAGGCTTGTTATCAGGAATAATGGAATGAACACTTCTGGCTTTGTTGTTTGTGGACTATTGGATCATATTCAACATGGTCTGAATTTGACGGAATGTAGTGAGTTATTGAAAGATCAAACCCGGGAAATCAAACAAGTTAGTTCTTCACAGAATGGAAGGCAAGTTTGTTTCTACGCTTTGAGTTGTATGGTCTAGTTTCAAGAAGGATAGTAGATTAACTCAGCTTGATTGCGTTTGGAACCGATCAGGAATTCATCATCACGGAAACGTTCGGAAAACAGCCGGTGGATTTATTGGTGGGCAATACTTTGCTTTTGATCTCGTCGAGGAAAGTGGCCAAGTTATAAAATCGGCCGGGTTTGAAGGCAGCAGTAGAACCAATTTCTACTTTTCATTAGTAACAGCTATAGATTTACCGAATGTTTCCCAAAATTTTGTGGAAAGTCTAAGACTGTTGTATCCGTAGTGGTGGCCGAGCTATTGATTACACCTGCACTGAGCCTGCCCGACTACGCGGTAGGGAGAAGACAGAGGACTGGGGACACGGCTGTATTGCCAGAACAAAACATACAGAGCGTCTGCGTAAATATATATAGGATGACTAATTGGCCAAATATGCTCCTTCACTTGTTCGCTCCGTATGTTCCGTTCGTGAACATTCTCAGGCCCATTACGCTGGTCGTGTGCTGTTAAGCCGTTTGGTGAGAGCCGCCAACTCACCTACTTTCCGGACGTGTCGTACGATGGTGGCCTTGGAGATGCGTCACTCTCTGCACATGTACTTTTTCTTCTGTCTGGGCGCGCCCTGACAAAGACCGAGAATTTACAAGCACCATATTTTGTTTTCGTAGTATTTTCGGTCCCTTTTGCCCTCTTGTAAATCAATTCGATCAGCTAACCAATTCACTATCCGCACCAAGGAAGGTTAACAGATTATGCCATTTTAGTGGTCTCCATTGCGATGAAAATGAAAGAAACGCCAAAATATATGTTTGTATGTGGTTGGTAAGATCTTCATTATGAGAACAGGTAAGCAATATTAGGAAATGTGGTCGAAATGCATCTACTTGTCTGAAGTCGAAACATGCAGTTAGATATTATCCACAGCTTCCCATCGAAATACGAAACCATCTTGTGAGAGGATAGGCTCATAATAACGGTTTGCACGTGCTCCTTGTGGTACTTGTACGCTGTAAAGTTTACACATGTTTAAGGTTGTCTCGTACGAGTACTTCCAACTTTCTCGCAACTAAGTGATAACTGTACATCCGGACCTTGGTTTTCACCACGTTGACTCTACGCTTAGCATGATTACATGTTGATACATTTGGTAGCTTGCGGTGCCCGTCACATAAGGAAACTGATGCACCAGAAGTAACAAAGAGGAATTTGTCAGTTTAAACTTAATAATTCGGGCATATTTGAGTGATTCGTTTTAGCACATCCATGGGGACATCAAAATGTTTTCCTCTGTACTTGGTCACTGAATCGGAGGTGCCAGTCAATCCGGTAGTTGCAGGCTATCCGCTTTTTGCTCGTAAGTCCTCCAGGGCTATAGTTCACTTAGGCATATTTCAAGGAGTGGCGTTCGCATGGCTTATGTTGTGGTGTATTGACGCCATTTTGGCAGAGCTTAGTTTGAGACTAAAACACAACATGTTCATATTCCGTGTACAAAAACCGTATGTTTATGCCGGTACAACAATACTCACCTGATTTTTACTTTGTGATCAATACGAGCAATGGACATCTTACCAGTTTATTCTATGTGCTTTCGTACGAGGATTTTAGGTTGTTATCTATCGACATCATCCATCACAAGCAAGAGCTGGCATCTGAGTGAATAGAAGACAAATACGATGCCTAGTCAATCAGTCAGACCCAACAGTGCATAGGTGCTTAAAAGGCTAAAGCCCAGGGCGGTACATCACAGCTCTGCGAGACTCATACCTAAGACGATGGGCACCATAGCAGTCAGAAATTCCTGATGATGAACGGGTTGAACAAAGCCATGGTTTTGACGTAAAAAAACTCGTCCACCCAACAAACACCTTCACTTTCTAGTGAAGAGACAGGCAGTCGAGAGTGGGTAAGTGGGAAACCATGAAGAAACTTACAGAAAGAACCCTTATCAAATTCAGATTGCGCTAGGCTTGTTATCAGGAATAATGGAATGAACACTTCTGGCTTTGTTGTTTGTGGACTATTGGATCATATTCAACATGGTCTGAATTTGACGGAATGTAGTGAGTTATTGAAAGATCAAACCCGGGAAATCAAACAAGTTAGTTCTTCACAGAATGGAAGGCAAGTTTGTTTCTACGCTTTGAGTTGTATGGTCTAGTTTCAAGAAGGATAGTAGATTAACTCAGCTTGATTGCGTTTGGAACCGATCAGGAATTCATCATCACGGAAACGTTCGGAAAACAGCCGGTGGATTTATTGGTGGGCAATACTTTGCTTTTGATCTCGTCGAGGAAAGTGGCCAAGTTATAAAATCGGCCGGGTTTGAAGGCAGCAGTAGAACCAATTTCTACTTTTCATTAGTAACAGCTATAGATTTACCGAATGTTTCCCAAAATTTTGTGGAAAGATGACATTTCTTTGTAGACGAGAAATAAAAGTGCTCACAACTTTATTATTATTATTTTATTATTTTATTATTATTTTATATTTTTTATTTTATTTATTATTATTTATTATTATTTACCGGAAACCTCTTAGTAAAACCTAGACTCACTTATTACCAACCAACTAGTTCACTAATCACACAAACGAGTTGCCAGTTAAGCGGCGTTTTCGTACACCATGCATTCTTTTTTTCTCCCTGTTACAGGTGGAAACCTCTTAGTAAAACCTAGACTCACTTATTCCACACCAACTAGTTCACTAATCACACAAACGAGTTGCCAGTTAAGCGGCGTTTTCGTACACCATGCATTCTTTTTTTCTCCCTGTCAATTACAGGTGGCCGACGAACGATTTCTGGTCTATGTGAACGATTTTCTTGCATCTGGAGAAATTCCAAATTTGTTTTCCGATGAGGAGATGGAGCAAATAATTGCTGGTATTCGACCAGAAGTGAAAAGTGTTGGTCTGATGGACTCCGTGGAGAATTGCTGGCAATTTTTCATTGACAAGACGCGTAAAATGTTACGGGTGTGTTGCTGTCCAGTGTCAATCGACGATAGTTCTGTTATAGTGGTTTTTGAGTGAACAGATCTGAGGCGATCGCCCGCTCATTTATCCGCTGCTGCGAATTGTCTTAGATTTATTGACATGATAACCCTCGAGAAGTGTGTCTCTGCACCAGTCGTCAGCATGTGACCTTGACCAATATGCATCATTGGTCGTGTCATTTTACCCACTCGGTGCATACCGCATCGATCCCCCAGACTCGTCCATACGTCCAGCCCCCATCCAGTCCAATCTTGCTTCTTTCTCCGGTAGCTGGTTTTCTGGGCGTTCTGCAGCACATTAACAGGTCGGACAGTCAGCCTAAACGCTACGTATACGACCCCCATCTATTAGTAGGTTACCGGAACTCCAGGTGAACGAGTGAGTTTGTCTTTGTTCACGTTGATGAACACTATGTAAGTGATGATGGGAAAACACTTCGGATTTATGAATTTCGGTCACTTATTGCATTTATATATATATATATATATATATAACATCGGTATTACCACAAGATTTCCAAAGTTGAATGCACAACTGGTAACCCGGATAACAGTTTTTACTATGATAGATAGTAGTTTACAGTTACTAGTTGCACCATGATAAAATATTAACAGTGCGAACAATGGAATAAGTCAAAAGGTGACTAGTCCTCTGTGGATAACTCGTGAGAGTTTCTAGGTGAAAGTCCGGACGACGGGAATATGTTTTCTCCGCAGTATAGCTGTTACACTTGTTCGCTAATTGCCCGTGGACTTGAAGTGTTTGGCTGACTCCCTGACCCCTTGCGGGCGCGCGAGTATGTGATTGTGTTATGTCGTCCCATATATAGGAAGGTTTGATGTGTGTATAATACATATAGTCGCTCCGATGTGTACAAGACGGGAACTGACTTGTTGTCGGTCAAGTTTGTCACGTGATTTGTGTGCTTGCGAGCAGGCGAGTCGCGTAACACAGTGAACACGGATGTACTAGGTAAATTAGGCGAAGTCAGTTAAGGGAACGAGGAAATATCCGCTACACTTTTAAACGAAAAAACCAGAGTACGTCAAACATGACTGTGTGAGCAATCATTAGAAAGCTTTACGATCGCCTCCATTTTCCCAGGTAATACTATGTTTTTCTCCAGTCGGCGACAAGCTGCGACTTCGCGCGCGACGCTTTCCTGCTCTGGTCAATCGCACATCCATAGACTGGTTCCATGAGTGGCCAGAAGAGGCCCTTTTGTCTGTATCCGCGCGCTTCCTGGAGGACTGCCCCGGATTATCTGTGAGTGACCTGCAACTCGTTCGTTCTTATTCGGTTTTCCATACTGTGTAAGATAGTCCTATCCTTATTGAGATATAATCAATAGGTCTTCTTCATGAATTAGGTGACCTGTACACCATCCAATTCAAAGAAAGTTTTGTAGACTTGAGGAGACTTACTGTCAAGTAGCTATAAATGCGAACACGAATCAACGAGGAGGTCTTGATTACCCACTCAATTCCAGTCGCTCACTTTTTTGAATATCACCTCCTCAGTTCCAGTATTTCTTCGAAATAGTGTGCTATCCATCTCAAATCCCATGAAATTCGATGGGCAGAGAGGTTGAAAACCTCATCACTATTCGAGGTTACATCGTCAGAGTGCAGTGGAACAGTACGACTTACCAGCGCTGAAGAGTTAAGTGCGTATGTTTCTACACGTGGTGGTAACTTAGCACAATCTTCGCTAATTGTTCAGTTCAGCGAACAAATCAACCCCCTGACATCCCCGACATCTCCAGCCTATCTGAATTTCAGCATAAATCGGTATTTGGATGACGTGCACCAACACTGAAATTTCGCACAGCGGCTTGGAGGCAAAAGTGACATGATGGGGAAATTAAGAGAAAACAGTTTTGTTCAGATGTGTACATCATAGTACTGTTTACGTGTTGTAAATTCAAATGAAAGCAACTCAGTTGGTGCTGTATGTCAAAAGGTCAGGTGGCTGTTGATCTGTTTGTCGAGCAAATCTACAGTCTAGTCTAGCCAGTTAACGTACGCCCTGCCCTCACTTCTAGTGCGCACGGCTTGCATCCAGCTTCGTTTCCTTTTGGCCCCGGTAGCACTCCTGCCCCTGTATCGATTGGGCACAACGAGCTCTTCCTGTTCCTATCAAATACGGCCCGTGTGGTAGCCTGTGTCATTACACTAAGTGCGATCCACCCAGAGGGAAACGAGTACACAAAATCGTTATTATTGGCTAATGGCCGTCTATCCAGTGGTCGGCCATGCTACGGTTGCAGCATTCGCTCGTTCACATGCGCTTTGTGTTGCAATTTATTAGATGTGGTGAAATAAGAAATAAAACGGTAGTAGTTTTTCAATGTATATGACGCTTCATTCTGCAGCCCATGAGTAAGGATTCGTATCACTATCCGATCCAGAACATGGACTACCAGATAAAGAGTGAACAAACCTAAGCAACGATGACACTGGGTTCACTGAACTAGTTGCATTTGTGGCGAAACTTGTCAGGACCAGTTGCAGCAAATTGACCTGTTTTCATTTGATCCAGGGGGCGATTACGACGTTGGATGCCACTAGGGGCCATACGAACCCTAACTCTGCTACTGTGTTTATTTCTCGCAGTCACACTAATTCCAAAGGATAAAACTAGACACAGAATGAAACTACGGTGGAATACTATTAACGACAGGTTTTATTCCTTCCGCAAGTGGCGGCCTAGGAGAGGCCAACGGGGAACTTGAGTTTGGATTGCCATCCATCTCCTGAAGTGGTGTATTGCAAGTTCCAACTTAAAAAGTGCACAGGGGGCAGACGGAGAGGCTCTCCTCCCCTACCCAAAGAACAGCCGTCAGCAGTTTTTTTTAGTTACCGGTCAAAATTCCTTTTACATGAAAAGCAATGCCAACGGAACAGGTGAATGAATTTCCGCGCGAGTTGTAAGATTTAAAAAGACTTCTTCAAAGACTAACGAAAGGATATTTCAATAAGACTTGTTAGGTGTGAAATTTATAGATGACAGCAGCTGGTGGCCTTTATATCCAACTGACAATGTCGCATTACAACTCCGCATTTTCGAAAAAGTTACCGGGAAAATAATCTGTTCATGCGGTCCATTATTGTAATGTTTCCCTCGCGAAGATGGACTTTCTCATGAATTCCTTATGAACGGTGTTAAGTCGAACAATAGCTTTTTGTGTGTTCAACCTGCATTTTGGACGCGCACTCCGCTGACTGAGTGCTGCTGCTGAAAAGCTCCAAGTCGGTTGACAAAAGAGCTGTGCCACAACGGGAACATAGCTATCTATCTTCGAGTATTATGTGTTAAGCGGTGAGGAGTGTTCACTCTATCTCTTCTTCATGATCCCTCCACGACTGGTTTTCTGGTCATTAGCGCGAGGTTTAAGAAATTATTGCTTGTAGAGCAGTTAAAGAAGATACCGTGCTTTTCCCGCCATTTCCTTACACATAAATAGCCTATTTGACTTTATACGTTCAGCGGTTTTCTGCAATACTACCATATTTTCTGGTAGTAATTCCGAGAATCAACTGGAGTTTTGCCACTGATCACAGTGTTTACTGCCGAAATGATCCACGATAAGTTAACCTATCGTGTAGAGTCTTTAGGCTGTTTTTAGTACAGCTTACTTTACAGTGTTGGGTCTTCGCACTCGGAGATTGTCGTAACGCAAGCGAAACCTGAACTGAGTCCACTGAAATTCCCCTGGCCAGTCAAGCCGTGAGAATGGCAGAGCTTGACCCCGAACGGACACAGTACTTTCGCCTCAGCTACTGTTGGTATGTTTCCTGTTCGACCGTGAGCTTGATAAAAAGGGGTAGCTGCCAGGGCCTGTCTACGCCAAACTGACTATCAGAGTCGGTGGTTTAAGCCCAACGGCCTCGCCATTGGCTTGACTGGGAAGTGCCTATCCGCCGCACCTTCAACTTGCGATAGTGCCACAAAACCTAGTTACTAGCGTCAAACGGATTTGTTTTGCAAACGCTTTGCTATCATTGAGTTTTCCCCATTTTTCTCTACTCTTAAGATAGTCGTCCAGACATTCTGTGAAAGTGAATTACTAACTCGGAAAATTTAGGCGTTATCCCTTCCTAGTCGATCAAATATAGTTTCGAAGGCGTTTGAAATCTAATATCCAAGTTTGTCGAATCCGTAATTTCTACTTGATGTCTTTAGGCGAATCGCTAAAATATGATACGTTTAAAATTAATTGCAGTTGTGTTTTTTTCGTGCACAGCGACGCTGTTTTATTAAAAAAAAGATAGAGACATTCAGAATGGAAAATTATGGCATACTTTTGCTACCAGCTGTGTGGTTCCAAAGATATCAGCGTCAAATTAAAGGACGTGGCCGGAAATAATCGCATTATCGTTCCGGGAATAGGTTAGAAATTTCTTCGGTATTAGGTGTTTGAGCGACCACAGAGAACTTTGGCTACCTCATTTATTATTGCCGCTGTCTTTCAGGAGGAAGTTCTTCCATCAGTGAGCCAGTATATGGCTTTCGCTCACAGCACGGTGAACGAATTGAGCAGAGACTATCTGGACAAAGAACGCCGTCACAACTATACCACACCCAAATCATTTTTGGAACAAATCAGCCTGTACAAACGCATGGTCGGTGCACAAATTGAGGAGTTGCAGCAAAAGATCGATCGCCTAGTCAACGGTTTGGATCGTTTGAGAGATGCGGGGGAACAGACAAGCGAGTTAAAAGTACAGTTGGCCGCACAGGAGGTTATTGTGAACGAGAAGACGGAGAACGCTAACAAGCTGATTGCTGTAGTGGGCCAAGAGACAGAAAAAGTTTCCGCCGAAAAGGAAATCGCAGCCGAAGAGGAAGCCAAGGTTAGTGTTATTAAGGCTGAAGTGACGCGTAAGCAGAGAGACTGTGAAGAAGATCTGCGTAAAGCTGAACCGGCTTTGATCGCCGCTCAAGAGGCCTTAAACACATTGAACAAGAACAATCTGACGGAATTGAAGGCTTTGACTACTCCTCCACCGGATGTGGTGCTCGTCTGTTCGGCGGTCATGTGCCTATTTGCTATGGATGGAAAGCTCCCCAAGGATCGAAGCTGGCGCGCTGCCAAGGCTGGAATGATGTCCAAAGTGGATCAGTTTCTGAGCAACTTGTTAAACTACGACAAGGAGCATATACACCACAATAGCAAGCAAGCTGCCATGGAGTATGTGAAAATGCCCAGCTTTGATCCAGATGTTATTCGAACGAAGTCTTCCGCCGCAGCCGGTCTGTGTTCTTGGGTGATAAACATACTGAAATTCTACGACGTTTATCTGGAGGTCAAGCCAAAACGCGATGCTCTGGATGCCGCGAACGAAGAGCTTCGTCAAGCTACCGAAAAATTAGAGGTATTACAGAAAAAGATCTCCATCTTGGAAGCATCTTTGGCTGAATTAACCGCCAATTTCCGTGAAGCAACTGAGGAGAAGTTACGTTGTCAACAGGAAGCAGATTTTACTGCGAAGACCTTGGATTTAGCCAATCGGTTAGTCAGTGGATTTGCTTCTGAGAATGTCCGGTGGGCGCAGCAGGTTGAGGTACTCCGTGAGCTTGGAACAACTGTAGTTGGTGACGTGTTGATCACTACCACCTTCATCTCCTACTTTGGGTATTTGAGTAAACCGTTTCGTCAGCAGCTGATGGATGAAAAACTATGGCCGTTTATGAGAAGTCTTGCTGTCCCTATCCCCATTCGTTCGGGTATTGATCCTCTGTACATGCTAGTCGATGACGCCGTCATCGCAACATGGAATAATCAGTCTCTACCAGAGGATCGTATGTCTGTGGAGAACGCTGCCATATTCACGTTTTGTGAAAGATGGCCCTTGTGTGTAGACCCACAGTTGCAAGCCTTAAAATGGATTAAACAGAAGTACGGTTCCGACTTAATCGTAACACGGTTGGGTGTGAGAAATTATCTGGATCAAATTGAAAGAGCCATCATGGATGGACATACGGTACTGATAGAAAATATCGGCGAATTTGTGGATCCGATTCTAGACCCGGTCATCGGTCGTCAGACAATCAAAAGGGGGACTGCAATCAAGATGGGTGATAGAGAGATCCCGTACAATCCGAACTTCCGCTTGATCCTTCAGACCAAACTGGCCAATCCGCACTATCAACCAGAGCTGCAAGCACAAACGACATTGATTAACTTCACCGTGACTCGAGACGGGCTTGAAGATCAGCTCCTGGCGGTGGTGGTTAGCAAAGAGCGTCCAGATCTGGAGAAATTGAAGTCTGACCTCACTAAACAGCAGAACGAATTCAAAATTACCTTGAAGAATCTCGAAGATTCTCTTTTGGCCAAACTGGCCTCTTCCGGAGGTAACTTCTTAGGTGATCATTCATTGGTGGAAAACCTGGAGACCAATAAGAAAACGGCTAAGGATATTGAAGAGAAAGTTGCAGAAGCAAGGATTACTGAGAGGGAAATTAATCAAGCACGTGAGCACTACCGAAGTGCTTCATCCAGAGCTGCTCTGATCTATTTCGTCATGAATGACCTATGCCATATTCATCCCATGTACCAGTTCTCATTGAAAGCTTTTCGTACTGTATTCGAACAGTCGATAGATACGGCACCGGAAGCTGACAGTGATAAGGAACGTCTGATAAGTCTGTTGGACAACATCACTTATTCAATTTTCGTTTATACAACCAGAGGATTGTTTGAAAAAGACAAACTCATCTTCCTCATACTAATGGTGTTACAAGTACAGCTAGCCTCCAAAGAACTTTCGCCAATCTTGATGGACTTCTTGTTGCGCTACCCCGTAGTACCGGATGTCAAAAGCCCGGTAGATTTTCTCAACGATCTCAATTGGGGTGGCGTCCAAACTTTGATAAAAATGAGCAATTTCCGTGATCTGGATAAAGATATTATTGCTTCGGCCAAGCGATGGAAGGCATTTTTGGAGACTGAGGCTCCTGAAAAGGAAAAATTCCCACAGGAGTGGAAAAACAAGAGTGCCGCTGAGAAATTGTGCATGATGCGGGCATTAAGGCACGATCGAATGACCTATGCATTGCGGCACTATGTTGGAACAACCTTTGGATCCAAGTACGTTGAAGCTCGCCAAATTGAATTCGGTAGATCCTTCAAAGAATCTGGACCGTCTGCACCAATATTCTTCATCTTGTCTCCTGGTGTGGACCCTCTGAAAGACGTCGAGGTGCTAGGACATAAGTTAGGCTTCACGCTGGACCAGGGAAATTTCCACAACATTTCCTTAGGTCAAGGTCAAGAGGTGGTTGCCGAGGCTGCACTGGAGACAGCCGCGCAAGAGGGGCATTGGGTCGTATTGCAAAACATTCATCTAGTGGCACGCTGGTTGAGCACATTGGAGAAGCGCCTGGAACAGTATGCTGAATCCGCGCACCCAGATTACCGTGTGTTTATCAGTGCGGAACCTGCGGGAGATCCATCTGCACATATTATTCCGCAAGGTATCCTGGAAAACGCAATCAAAATAACCAATGAACCACCAACAGGAATGCACGCAAACTTACACAAGGCTTTGGACAATTTCTCCCAGGTAAACGTGTTTCTGTTTCATTTATTTGTCTGTGAAATCTTTGAGTTCGGTTGGAGAAAACTAAGCGCGGTTGGACTATACGCAACAAAACAAGAGCTTGCGAAACTCCAGGCTCGTTGGCTTCATGCCAAGAAGCGTCATTAAGGCCACATGTTTTTCAGTTTTCAAGCCTCCAGGTTAGTATCTGAGTCCTGTACGGCCGGTTCACGAGCCGCTGATCGAGTGTGATTAAGTTGCACGTAAGTTTAATATAAGGCATTTACCACCGTTTACGTAAGTCTAATGTAAGGCATTTACCACAGTTTAATATAAAGCATTTACCACCGTTTAGTTTCGCACACAAGTCTTCAGGTACTGGCAGAGGGTACTGATGTGCCTCCAGAGCAGCATTTAACCCTGTTGAGAAATCAGCACACAGCCGAATGGACCCGTTTGCCTTTCGAACGACGACAATGGGCACCGCCCAAGATGAGTAATTAACCGGCTCGATTACACCAGCTGCTTGAAGCCTATTCAATTCTTGTTCTACAAGAGTCATTGCTGCATAGGGGATCGGGCGTTTTTGCCGAAAAACAGGTTGCGATCCTGGCTTTAACGTTAGAACAGCGGAGAATTTATTGCACAGACCGAGGCCATCAGCAAACACGCTCGAATGCTTCTTCCAAAAAGAGTCAGGCAGTTTCTGAATCATATTCGGTTTTGTCGCCTGTGTTTTGTAGCATATACTATTAAGTGGCCTGTCCAAAAGATTTAGCTTGTCAATCCAATCTAATCCTAACAAATCCAAACCAGGATGATCGGAAACATGACAGATGCCACTAACGGTGATATTTTCAAAAGTAACAGAACAACTGAACTCACCACAGAGTTTCAGTAAACTTCCAGATACACTGCGTGCAACTTGTTTGGTCCTGGTTAATGCTGGGCTGCCAATAAATTTCCAAGTTCTTTTTGAGATGATCGTAATGTCTGATGCCGTGTCCAGCTGGAGACGAACAGGTTTGCTGTTAATACACACTGATAAGTATTTCCTCCTGTTCACCTGTGGGCGTTGATGAGCAGCCAGACCAACGCGAGCCTTCGGAAGCTTGGAATCGGAAGTTCTAGTTCGAGAATGCCTCCTGGGTGCTTGCCTTCTCTCGCCATGACACCGATCTCCTTTGTGTCCCAGATCCAATCTGAAGAAGTCTTCATGCTTATTGGACCAAGAATCAGAAGTAATGCATGAGATCGGATCGAACTGGGATTCAGGGATCGCGTTGAGCATCGTGTCGATCAACGAAGTGGACGGCTCAGTAATCTGGCTAATCGGCTTCTGTAGTGACAATTTTTCGGTGAGTGTCTTGATGAGCTTCAACTGCGCCAGCTCAAATTGTTGCTGCCACTGTCTGAGAAGAGACTGCATCTGTTCGAATGAAATTGCCATTGTGAACACCCGTCTGCCGGTGTTGTATCTTGTGCAGTGGCCGAGTTATTCGTTAGACCTGCACTGCACCTGCCAGACTACGCGATAGGGAGAAGACAGAGAACTGGGGGCACAGCTTTATTGCCAGGACAAAACATACAAAATGTCTGCGGAAATATATAGGATGACTAATAGGCCAAATACGGTCGTTCACTTGTTCGCCAGCCAATGGTGGTGTGCCGGTCGTGGACATTCTCAGGCGCACTACGCCGGTCGTGTGTTGCTAGGCCGTGTTTGGTGGGAGCCGCCGACTCACCTACTTTCCGGACGTGTCGAACCGATGGTGACCTTGGGGATACGTCACTCTGTGCACATGTGCTTTTTCTTCTGTCTGGGCGCGCCCTGACATTTGGCTTCTTCATTTTGATGATACTCGCTGTTTTATAGGTCCAAGGGATCCGAGTACTCATCTTAGAGGACTGAACGCTGCACCGATTTACGATAGCATGGCGGGACACATTCCCTTAAGCTTCTCGAGTGCGGATCTACATCGTACCTGGCCATCCGAATCATAGTGACCCACGGAAACAGTAAAATAGATGAACAGTTCATCAGCGGTAGCTATTTGCTTGCAGGGCTTCTTAGACTTCATACGCAGTCTTCTGATGGCAACGATGTGATGCAACAACTGCGTTATGGCAAGTATTGCTGCCCAGTCTAGATCGCTTGAAGGCAGAAATTAAAGTATTGTGCACACATAAACTGCCCTTCAGCTTGGAAGCTCAAGCCACTCTCTTTTGCCATCTTTTCACATGATCACTTTTTTCTTGTAATGTAAACAGTGTTAGGACCGGACGACACGTTGTCAAGGTTTTAAACCATTCATTTTGGGCGAAGTACTGTAATGTCGTGCTGAACTCGTTCACTTAGTTGTCCAGTGTGATATCTTCTTTTTTCCGTATTGTCCCCGGGTCATTTTACATGCAGAACAATATCGTCACACATTTATACCATCTATTTACAGGAAACTTTGGAACGTTGCACCAAAGAGGCTGAATTCAAGCCTATCCTATTCGCGCTATGCTATTTCCATGCTGTGGTCACCGAACGGAGCAAATTCGGCGCGCAAGGTTGGAACCGAACGTATCCATTCAATGTGGGCGATTTGTGCATCTGTTTGGATGTGCTCTACAATTACCTTGAAGCCAACTCCAAGGTTCCTTGGGAAGATTTACGCTACTTGTTTGGTGAGATTATGTACGGCGGGCACATCACAGATGATTGGGATCGACGCCTGTGTCGAACGTTCCTGGAGGAATTTTTGCAACCGGATCTGGTGAGTCTTCTCTTTCGGGCTGCCCTGGAATTATTTATTTTGTTCGAGATGTGTATTTGCATTGCTATACTGTGGAGGAGAGTTCACAAACCACTTTCTTAAGGCTGTTTCAGCAATTTTCTTAATTTCTGATAAGTTCGGGTGAACCGACGTGTTTGGTAGTAACTCAGATAGGAAAGCTGATTTTGCTTGTTTATAACTCAGTTTGTTACTGGACCCCAATTACTCGCGAGTAGATAAAATCTTAGCAAACTTGAGAGTGATGGTTGAATAAGTGAAAATGTCCCTCAGGTTCCGAGCTATGGATTCCGTTGTTTCACGAAGGAATGATTTGGGTTATTTACCTTACAGCATACAGATTCATATTCGGTTTTCAGACCCTTTCAATACATGGGTGCTCGAAGAAGGAAAAAGGGCCGAGATACTGACAGGTTGACCGGATTTATGCGTAAGCAACCCTTTTATTGTCCTAGAGGAAACCACTCGCAAGGTTGGCTGAAAGCTCTCTGACAGCCCACGACCGGTTTCGCCTTCTTGGGGCTCATCAGGTAGGCTCAGTCCCCGAGTTTCCGTCAACCTTATGATCTACTTGAACCCAAATTGCACTGTTTTTCGAGAAATACACTCATCTGCAAATCAATTTGGTTTTCACGGGAGACTCAATTGAATCTCTCGTTTATGATGTTCTCCAGCTGAATGTGCTGCACACATGCCGCCTCATGATTCAGTTGGCACGATATTCGAGATATCGCGGTATATTTTCATAAAGGAAACTACTCACAAGGTTGGTGAGAACTCTTCGGCAGCCCACGACCGGCTTCGCCCTCCTCGGGGCTCATCAGGTAGGCAGAGTCCCCGAGTTTCCGTCAACCTTATGATCTACTTGAACCCAAATTGCACTGTTTTCGAGAAATACACTCATTTGCAAATCAATTTGGTTTTCACGGGAGACTCAATTGAATCTCTCGTTTATGATGTCCTCCAGCTGAATGTGCTGCACACATGCCGCCTCATGATTCAGTTGGCACGATATTCGAGATATCGCGGTATATTTTCATAAAGGAAACTACTCACAAGGTTGGTGAGAACTCTTCGGCAGCCCACGACCGGCTTCGCCCTCCTCGGGGCTCATCAGGTAGGCAGAGTCCCCGAGTTTCCGTCAACCTTATGATCTACTTGAACCCAAATTGGACTGATTTTAACAAATACACTCATTTGTAAATCACTTTGTCTTCCATGGGAGACTTAACTGAATCTTCCATTTATGATATTCTTCAACTGAATGTGCTGCACAAAGGCCTCTTCTTGGAAATTTTAAGAGAGTGTTACATACGATGTGTGTTTGAGTGTGACGCTTGCGTGCTGCTACTCGATGTAGCGTAGTTTCAACATACAGACGCAGGATCACTCAGCAGGGTCTACAAGATTGGTTGCCTCAATCATACTCAAAAACGGAATTCGTCTAATCATCAGTCCTTTAGTGTAAAACAGCCATAACCATTATCACTTAAAACAAGGCCAACGGGGAACATTAATGTTTCACTACCGTACGATCATGCGAATTTAATCAAATAAAGCCCATTCGTCATACATTACTCATGAAACTTGTACCAGACATGCTGGCGCCTCTGCTGTCTAGTTAATTTGCGGTGGAAGGTGCATGCATCTCTGATGGGGCGTAGGGTCGCACACTTGCATGGTCAAGCATGCAGACAAGAACACACTAGGCCCAAAGGTTTCCTTTCACACGACCATCTGATAGGCATAATTTTCTGTCCTGGCAACCTTTGACTAGCTAGATGACACTAAACGGACGATGCCGTGAGCTGTTAAACTTTTCAACGTTCGGTATTTATGATTCATTGGTAAAATGGCACCTACATACAAACCGGTGGTGTTTGGCTACCCTAAAATTTCGCTCACTTAAATAAACGGCTATGAAACACGCAAACGGTGAAATTCTGTAAAAAAATCTCTACTTCGAAAACCCAGTAATTTCGGCTTACTTCTAGCGATCCATGACAAGCGTGCTGCCGAATTTTGACTTTCAAACGCCTGTATCTGTGTGAGGTTCGAATGTAAAGCTTTCACAGCCCAGTGGCTTTTCCTTTTTAGGATTCCCGACTTTCAGTCGAATTCGAAGACAGTTGGTGACGTTGCATCTAACAGCTGGACACCAAAATCACTCGATCAGTATTGTTTAGGCTTGTACATCAACCTGCTTTTTCGGGTTATGGCCGGAAGCGGCTACATTCAAGCAGATGTTTCGTAGCCAGGTATCTAGAACACGATCGGCCTCGGTCTGTTGGGTCTGTCTGGTTGTCACAGCTGTTTGTCCCGATAAATTCATCAAGCCACCATCAAGGTTGTGCTGTTTCCGTAAGTTGCAAGCCTGGTCAGTCCAGCTGAGTTGACGACATACCTGAGTGTATGCAGTATTGCTAGTTTTTTTGGCCCGACATAGCGACCAGACTGCCCCCACAGATGTGAACTCTGCTAACCAAATAATGGTAATAGCAATTCACTGCATGGATGCTACCCAAATGGGAAGCACCACCAAGGTACTGTGAAATCCTGTTCCGACCGGTTTGATGAATTCAGTTGCACGGAAACTAACCACCATTTTTAACTCCTTTGTTGCTGTCCATGGTGGTGCGGGGGAGATGTTTGTGGCAGCTCGAATAATAACATGATCTAACATCATAGTGAATCTTTTATTTGAATTGACAACTATGCCTAGTTACCTCTTTCAATCATGTCCCTTTTGTTTGGTTGCGCATGATGTCATACTTAGTTTTTTGATGCCCTAAGTTACACTTGCAACTGAGCTTTGGCTAGGTTCACGACAAATATTCAGTGAGGACAATGAGCAGTGAGAATTTGCATGGCTGTGTTTGCTTATCAGTAAAGCGATTTGGCTACGTCATTTCTGTCCAACGTTGGTTTCACGCCATTTAATGCCAGCATTCCTTCGGGGTCTGTGCACGTGTGCTCAACCACAGCCAACAACCTGAGAAATGAATTAATTCATCGTTCAATGCCTCATTCCGTGGTGAACCAGTTAGTATTCCACAGGCTAGTGCTGGACTGCGGTTACTCATATACGCATGTGAATCCTTCCTCAGTTTTGCCAGCACCTGCTGAATTCTGTGCGCGCATCATTCTTTATGCATCCGCATCTATCCTCTCTTACGCAGGTTGATGGAGACTTGTATTTGGCACCAAACTTTATGGTTCCACCTAATTCGGATTACGTGGGCTATCACGACTACATCGACAAAAATCTTCCACCCGAATCGCCTTACTTATACGGTTTACACCCGAACGCTGAGATCGATTTCCTAACGAAGGCTGCTGAACGCACATTTCGAGTGGTTCTCGAACTTCAACCGCGTGACTCAGGTGCGGATGTAGGTGATGCTCCAAGCAGAGAAGAGACGCTTAATAACTTGTTGGAAGATCTTACGGAGCGATTACCGGACGGCTTTCCAATGGCTGAGTTGTACGCACGCCAGGCACCCGAAGAACGCAGTCCTTACGTGGTTGTCGTACTGCAAGAATGTGAACGCATGAATTTACTTATTGACGAGATACGGCGATCTCTGAAGGAACTGCGACTTGGTCTCCGTGGTGAACTGACGATCACGGGTGCTATGGAAACGCTTATCAACGCCCTGTTTCTAGACCAGGTAATTATGGCTCTTTGTCGTTTCCCCGCAACTCCTTTGTAACCCAGTCTACGAAGCCCACCTATGGCTCTGTTATCCAGTCTAGACGAATGCTTCTGCTTTTTACCCATAACTGATCCATCGGAGGTGTGCAAACTGCTCCACATCTCACGATGTTCGGAGGAGTAGCAGACAACAAGAAGAGAAGAAAAACCAAATGGTCTTAAATCACTTCATAGTTGATCACACAAGTATATTATATAGTTTTTGTGGATAAAGGATTAACTACTGTTAACTACCACCGTTAACTACTGTATTTCAAGACGCATATATAGTTTGAAGTCAGTAGGAAGGCGATTTTCATGTAAAAGTAGTTAAAACGTCTACTTGGTCGTTCTTCACTCTTTAATTTATTTTCCTATCTTTCTCCAAAAATATTACACATATAATGAACAGTAGGCCGGTAACAGATCCAGATTTGTTCAGCATCTTTCATCTGGCGGGTGAATGTTTTACTTTGTGGCTGTTTGGGGTATAATGTTGGAGTAGTTGGAGTCAACTGGATTGAAAAACAAAATAAACTTTCAATCAATTGGAAAATGTTTGGGACCGATTGGGAAGTCATCGTTGCAGAGGGGTTTGGTAAGCAATCGGTGGATTTATTGCTGGACAACGTTTCGCTTTTGACACAAAAGCCCCGTCAGTGAGTTTAATTAAGAGGCAACTAAGACGGGTATTGGTGCCAACACCAAGGCCCAACAAGGAGTGGATCGGAATAGCGGTCATTCCATACAAAACAGGGACATCTGAAGTCATTAGAAGGGTACTGAATACGGCTAACATTAGAGTAGCTTTCCAGAAGGGGAAAACTTTACGCCCGATGTTGGTGCATTTGAAGGATCGCCTTCCGGTTGATAGGACTAGGAACTGTGTACACAAACTAAAATGTAACGACTGTACGAAGGTTTATATAGGTCAGACAGCCAGGGAATTGCACACCAGAATCGGTGAGCATAAGCGTTCCATTAACAAACCACTGAGAAACGCAGAGGAATACCAGGCGTTAGTCAAAGATTCAGCAATGGCAGGGCATGCTCTAGACACTGGGCATAGGATAGATTTGGAAAATATGGACATCCTGAGACGGGGTTTAGGATTCACACCACAGCGACTGGTGACCGAGGCGGTGGAAATCACCAAACATCCCAGTGTGAATAGAGGGGGTAGAACTTGCAAACGTGTGGAGAGCGGTCTTAGATCAGCCGAGAAGACACGAGGTGGTGTGCAGTTATCAACGAAATCGCCTGGGTCTAAAAGTACAAAATCGAAGTAGAGTTAGATCCAGTTAACCACCCCACTCCCCATACCCAAACCAATTTTCCCAGCACCCTTGGACGAACACAGGTGAACGAAAACTGTGAACAACTCCAAGAGGAATTTTCCAATAAGGTGTCCTAGACTGAAGAAACAAGGACGAAAAAATCCGGGTTCATCATAAAGACGGATCCCCTCTAACCAATCTATCGTAAATCCTAGTCATCCCCACTAATCAACAAACAGGGACATCAGACTGAACACCCAGCACTGATCAAGTCACTAGTCATAAGGAACCTCACGGGTTGGCTGACTGACTGCCTTAAAACCCAATCAACCTACTTACTCAATTGGCTTGACGAAGTTTTTGCGTCAAAAGCGAAACGTTGCCCAGCAACAAATCCACCAATTGTTTACCAAACCCCTCTGAAAAAATAAACGCTCAATATAATTAAAAATTATGCATCGAAAATCTGTTAGCACAATGTAAAATCAACGAAGGCTGTTGTCTTTTGTTTCCATAGGTCAAACTGATTAGATAGGTATCAGGTCTTGAACATCGCCCGACGGTTAAATAAATAAGCCTTAGTTTTGGTGTCCAGCCCGAGCAACTTTGGGATCGGGTGATTGTTCCTTGTAGGATTTACGACTGCTTGTCTCCGGAACACACAGAGGTGCGGCGTGTAAGAATGTTACCTATGACAGTTACGTAGAACCTTTTGGCGGTTCTGCTTTTGGACGTCTAATTTATCAGTTATCCTCCCTGAGCTTCTTTGAATCGCCTTGTTTTACTGTGTAATTTTTATTTTTATTTTTACTTTTAAATTAATTCACAACTCGCCATTAATCTGTCTGGCCTTCAAAGCGGTTTGTTTGGTCACTACGTGGTGCATGGTTAGCATGGCTCGACTCTCTTGGATGAGAGGACGGGACGGGCTTCGGCTGCAGAGCTGAAGTGGCAATCAAGAAGAACGTTACTGGGATACTGCTTGGTCGTGTGTAGCCCCTGGAAAAGCCAACGGAGGATCATTCAAAACCTACCTCTTCCAGTGGGGTTACCCAAGAACTAGGCAAGAACTAGATGGCACCATCGTAACTTACGCTTTTCCTCTTCCTCTTAAGTTGGTGTACTACCACAGGTACAGTCACCAACTTGACCGTCAATAGAACGCTGCGTATTTATATGCATATTGCCATATATCTCTTGGCGTCTTCGATTTTGCTTCTAACCTCCTCTATTCAATCCCACATGTTGGTCTCTCTACTCACAACACAGCTCAACTGTCCTAAATGCGAACCATCAAACTGCACCACGAACTCTTGGTCCGAGAAATGTAAATTCTGAAAACCTAAAACTGGAACTTATGAACCCTGTCATTTTTTGTTTTCCAACACGTCTTCACCGTCGAGCAGTTCCTCACGTTTGGAACTGTCTTTCATTGTGCAGTTTCTACAAGAAATTTTTCAGGCAACCGTCTGATGACATCTAAGACGGAACTTCGAGGCAACTGAAGAGATGTCCAACGAGAGAACTAGTTAGGTTATCGATGAGAGGCATGGTATTGTTATGTTCTCTACTGATCAATCAATCAACCTTGTCAGTTACACACGGAATTGAGAAGACAAAAAGCCTTGAGGAAATTATACTGCAGCAACTGAACAGCCAATGTCGAGATTCTAAGAATCAAGAATGGAATGGAACAAACAGTCCAATGAAAGCTAAAATATAGAGAGAGAAATGTTGAGCAATATGTTCGTTAGGAGTGCCTCCTAACAGGTATTCACTAGCAGAGTAAAACTGTAGGGTGGATACGCTGATGTGAGACACAGTTGCGTTGCCCTGGTCTCATTTTCGTGATTTCATGTTAGATCCATTGATTACCTCAAAACAGGCGAATATCTCCAGGGGGTAATAAGTGATTTCCCTCGGCAACAGCATAACCTCTTCAATTATGCAATGTCTATGGAGAACCCCTACATCTGATGCACCTGGTTGATGGATATTCCGATGTCCTACAATTTTTTCAGTAACGGATGGAGCAGTGTGATGGGAATGGTCACTTTTATTGTGAGTTCTTCTGATGTGAGATAAATTCTGCACTTCTGGAACTACAGTGATTATGAAGAACTCTGGTCGTTGGCTTTTTCGCTGAGCTGGGCAATTTGGTTGCAAACGTTTCATCACCAATCGAGGTGACATCATCAGTGCGTAGTTGTGCGTAGCGCTACCTGAGCTACCGACATTCTCCTCTATGAAGAACTCTTTTTCTTGGATGGGGATTGGAATGGAGGAAACCAGTGGCTCACAATCGTCTTTGATGGGGCTGTTTACTTTCGGTCTTTGTTCATGCTATTTAGATCTTTCGTCGGCTGGATAGATGCCAGCATGCCAGTGTCCGATTCGAATGTCATTTGTCAGTTGGTGCTGGTTCCAGAACTAGCACTTAGTACACCTAAAAAGACTGTATTTAGACAGTTACATGTCTAAACCAGCGCATTATTGTCCTCAACCCAGACAATTTTTACGATTTTAACCCTATCTACATTGGTTTTGTTCTGACTACAAGCTGGCTAGTGTTGTCCAATTAGTGCTCCTTTCATGCAAACCCGTCTTCGCTATCAGCCACGTGCGACCGTAACCAAGGCTGAACTTGTAGCTGCAGACACAAAAGCATTTTCGGTTTAAGTTAGTGGTCACCCATTTCCGTTAAGATAACAAGCAATGAGGCCAACCTATCGTGGATTCAGTTGCAGAATCTGATCGGGCTACTTCCCTGTGACGAAGCCTCGATGCAACCATGCCTCCCGTGTTTGCCCAATTGATATTGCTGAGTCACATGTCAAACAAGCTGTCACCGGGGCTGGGGATGAAACTAGGTCAACCATCGACTTGTCCACCACACAACCTTAACCCACATACATGCTGTCACTTGACCTTTGCAGGCTATGGATGACCTGATACTGTTACCTCGGCTCCCATGGTCACACTGACCGGGTTAGTGCTACTGTGCTCAGAATTATCATAGAATAACGGTGGCTTGCAAAAATGCAGAAGGCATCGGGTTCTTAGCCAGCCTTCTAGGTATGCTTGCTTCGTTGTGACACGTACGTGTGCACACGACGTTCCCCATTCGAAGGCAACAGTTCACATTGGTCACAGCCACTGGCGTGTGGGATTCTGCCAGGTGACTAGGTCGAGGATATCCACAAGGCGAGAACTGTTGTATCCCGATGCTCTCATGCTTTCAACGAGAACCTGGGCAGTTTTCTTGCCGCATGCTCACTTTCTCTTACCTCAGTTTACAAGTCGATGTGGTTTAACTGGCTCATCCAATAGTTTTCGCCCAGTTTTCGTGCAGCCGGTATTGTTGGTTGACACATCACTTGTCACATGAATCCCTCGTCCCAAAGTAACCATCTAATAACTGAAATATTTGAGGAATTTGGTGTACAACACCTTCGTGATCTGCACGACTATGGTCTAGCGAGTACTGAATGAGAGCAAGTCAAAAGGAGATAACTTTATCAATGGGCAAACAATTTCGCCAAATATTTCTGAAGATAGTAATGACTGTAATATATTAGTAACAGTAACGCAGTTACAAAAATAGCGGCAAAAGTCCATGGTCAGTGGAAGATCATTCAGAGATGTAAACAAAATTTTGCACACAATCGGGGTGCGTTGAAACCTGTGAAACATGAGGCACTAAGGTGTGGTTGATAGCTGACGCATGCGGGTGTTTAATTTGATTGGGACCAATCATATGACTGCAGATGGATCTAGAAAAGGGTTTTTTTGTTGGCAGTTCCCATTGTGCATCTGGATCTAATGCAGCCATTACCACACCTATTCAGCTTATTGGTCACTATGGCTTAAACGTCATACATGAAAGCATAGGCTAACGGGGTGTCGTACAAAAGCCGAAAATTAATTCCCAAAGCTAACGTGAGGTCACTCATGTAAATTCGTCACAATGACTTGTGAAACGTTGAAATAATGTCAGGTAAAAATGAAAAACGCCATAAAACTGCCATTTCTCCCTGTGGAATCTGTAGACAATTCGTTTCCCCTGTACTACAATGTAGTTTATCACTCCTGACAGTTATCAAGCACGTAAAATAACTGTTTGTGGCAGATTTGACGAGTGAAATTCGATAGCTGCGGAAAACTGGGTAAACAACTAGGTTATCAATTGGGTCGCTGGCCACCAGCACCATCGACTACTTTCGGATGCTTTTCCGTCGAAAACACACTGGATACATCGATGCTTCGGACATTTGGTTTTCTTGACTAAGTAGCTACAGACAAGTAATTTAGCATTTTGCGAACCAGTCAGAAAATATAGTTTGGGTTCATAAGCAGTGGTCTTGAGCGTTCTTGAGGCAAAAGAAATTTTGTGCACTCATTTCCCCCCACGCATTTAACGAGAATAAGAAGAAGTTTCTACGAAAGCCATGCTTACGTCACTGAGTGGGACTGGTGAATATTGTCTACTGGCTTAAGGGCCAGCCAACCATTCTCACGAGGAACAGGATACAGTTCTCAGAATTTCAACATATTACAGTCATTGGCGAGTCTGTATACACAATTTGGTTGACCCATTCTAGGATATTTTTAGTCCCTACAGCTCCGTTCGATTGCTTCCTGGTCCATTCTCTCATTCCACTCTGAAATTCCTTTCTTCTCACTGTTGATCATTTAAATCAATGGTCGTGTGAACCACCTGCTCGCAGGTACGGCCTAATGTTGTAGAAGGTCTCGATAAGGGAAGGAGGGATGAGGCTAACTCCACTTGGTTTACATTGTGTAAAGCCCGTTCGGTGAACAGGCTGAAGAACAGTGTCATTGTGAGTGCCTTTTTACACTTCATCCGACGACAGACAGTCTGACTGAAACGATTTCAGAAAAAAAAACTAAGACCTACGGTTTTCTGAACAACTTTCGGTTCGCCATCTGGATTTACATATTAGCATCTTGAATTTCGTCAGCAGACGTGAACGGTTTCCAATAATGTGAAAACCCTAAAGCGAGGGGATTATACAAAAGGATGCTCAGTACAGATAGACTTTTCACTAGATTCTGTTGTGGTGTTCCGGACATGGGATTATGGAATACAGATTGAGGACTGACGACAAACCAAGTTAACTATAAGTTAAGAACGTGGGCGTATAGTTTTAACGGTGAGCTCATATGAATGGATTGACTCTTTGCTGAGGTGCCGCACGCGCTTCTCACAAGCGTATTCTTTCACCTATCCCTTCTTACTTCTCCCGTGCCTAAGATCAAGTTCCTTGTCAGTGTATGACTAAGATGGCAATATTAGTTTAACTTAAAGAGGTAGTCCTCTCAAATAGCCGACAGTGTTTCGTTTTTTCCGATTTTCTCTTGGACTGATCTGATCCATATATCCTTACAAAGGTTGTCCGTGATCAGACCTTGGGAGATGGCCCTTCATATCCCGAAATTCAGTAAGAGCTACTGCAATATTTCTAGGAGTACGACCCCTTTGGAGATCTTCATTATGAGCGTCGCAATCTGCCTGCAAGTGTTAAGTCGTCATAAAACCAAGCACTATGCTCTAATACCAGACCATTGTGACATACAGTCTACCCGGCTTCTTTTTTGTCGCACAGGTTCCTGCCTCCTGGGAAAGGTATGCCTATCCAAGTCTCTATCCCCTGGGCTTGTGGTTTGCTGACATGCTGAATCGTACGAAGGAGTTAGAGATTTGGTCTCAAGACCTCGGACTTCCGGGTTCCGTATGGATTGGAGGTTTGTTCAATCCACAGTCGTTCCTTACTGCTGTAATGCAACAGACGGCACGTAAGATGGAGTGGCCACTTGACAAGATTTGTATCAGTGTTGAAGTGACCAAGAAGACGAAGGAAGAGATGGGTTCCGCTCCTCGTGAAGGCGCCTATGTTCACGGACTCTTCATGGAAGGTGCACGGTGGGATTCGGGTGCCGGGTGCATGACGGATGCTCGAATTAAAGAGCTGGCACCACCTATGCCGGTCATCTTGCTCCGAGCTGTCCCGTCAGATAGACAAGAAGGTCGAGTTGCTGCTATGTATGCCTGCCCAGTGTACAAGACGAAAATGCGTGGCCCGACGTTCGTTTGGACGTTCCACTTGAAGACCAAAGAAAAACCGGCCAAGTGGATTATGGGTGGCGTTGCCCTGTTACTCCAAGTCTAACGGAAATTTCGAGATTTATGGAGTATGCTGAACAATGCAACAATGCAAGAGTAGACCGAGAGACCAGACAACTTGCGGCCTAGCTACTGTTCCGTGCATACTTTCGCTTTTGAGGTGTCAGTGCTTTCAAACTGTGCTCTTCCAATATAGACACTTATGTTGCCGTGTTTTACAGTTGTTTTGGCTGGGCTTACATGAGTTGGAAATGAGCACAGGAGCTTTGACAAAGTGGTGGGAGGATTGTGCTTGTTTCACCGAGTTTTTTGGAGAAAAACCTGGCCCTTTACTGATATGTGGTCAACGAAATATGACCCCAAATACTCATTGGGGCGAACAGAGATGGGCGAACATATGGGCAATCACTTAAAAAGACATTAGGTGACTACTTGGTCACTTTCCGTTAGCGGCATCGGCAATCGTATGTCGTCGAATGGCTTGTCTAGTGTTTACCGAAACACAGCAGCCGGATGTATCGACCTATGGCCTGGCAAACCATAAAGGAGCAATTGTTCCGAAGCCAAAATGGGAATAGGGCTTGGGCATCACGTTTACTTCGATCCTTTTCACGTATTAGTACGTTGGTAAGAGCAGTGACTTCTGCGCAGGCTGTGGTAGAGAGGTGGTCCTTTCTGTTTGCTCCGGAGTTTGTAGGTTTAAGGAAAGGAGAACTATGTCTTGCACTCTGCAAACCTGTGCGGCTGCGTTTGCCCTCTCTTAGCACATCTGCCAAAGTCTGCTCAGGAATGAGAGAATTTATTGAGAATCTTGCGTATCTCGGAAGTTGGATTAGCTTTGATAGAAGCCTCTTTTGGATTCGGTGTATGAACCTCGAATACTGAAATCACTCTCAGTATTATGTTATTCATGCTGTCAAATGCTCAAATCACTGAGTTGCAAGGTTTTGGTTGGATTGCGCTACTGTGCCGTTGTAAGACGTGGTCGCTGCAGATAGAGACTTTTCAAGTATCTCCATTTGCCCGAAAACCCTATCTATGAACCAGAGCTGTTTGGAACACAGTCAGTCACTCCATAACGAATCTGCTAGAAAAGAGGCTTTTGGTTGCGTGGCTGATGGCTCGCTTGTGGAGAACATTTAGCACAGAACCAATTCATACGTATACCGATTCATCGTTTGTCGATATGTGCATTCCAGAAGGGTTCATGTGGTTGATACAAAGTGTCAGAAACTTCAAATAACAGTATGTCCTTTCTTCACTTCAGTTTCCATAACTCTGTGGCGTTGCCAGTTCTGCCATAGCACTCTCAGATACACTCTGCACGTGGTGAAATTGTCCTCATTCTCTGTAATCGTCATAATAAACATGACATACACGACAACTCAACAAATCCGATACATAGGAATCAGTTTATCGCAACCGCAGACAGTAGCAGTGTGCTGTCCACATGGGACCGACGTGTGGCAGAACAAACAAACGAGTGCACAGTCTAGAAAAGGGGTGGTCCAGCAAACGCAGTCGTTCGGCTAAACAACGAGGCCTGAACAATCGGGTTTGCACACATAAAGGTAGTAAGGCGATGCTGCAATTTGATTCATCATTTTCAATCCAGATTGTGCCAGGTTCTCGATGCGCTTTTTTCCTGGCCTCATTGCAGATTTCTTTCTACCCATACAAACTGTGTGCTCACTGGAGCATCGAATCGCCATGGCAACCCACCATCTCCGACAAAGCACTTGCTTTGATAACTTCGCATTTTGGATCCTCAGTTTAGTCAGAGTCGGTCCCTTTATTCCGCCAGAAAAAGTGCCACAAATCGTATTATCTCGTTGCACTCGCTCAGAACGACATGACTGCCGACATTTAAGGACCTTCGTCTGTCCTTATGTTATCCCTCTGCCAAGCCATTTGTACCGACTAGCGGAGTCCACGCTGGAATTTGAGCTATGGTAGCGAACATGGATGGTCTTATACTGTTATCGCGGGGAGTTTACCCGACCGATGGTTGGAGTTGGCAATGAGTCCTGCTACTATGGTCCAGACCGTATGTACATACTTTACATTGTGCATAGCAGCTGTATGGAATCAGAACGGTGGCAAGTAGGTGCGAAATCCGAGGTCAGTGAGTAAGTGGGCCTCCTTACCTGACAGGCTAGAACAAAAAATTCCATGCCGTGTTGACGAAGCTGGTGCAAGACTAGCTCAGCAACACAGTGAGCAAACAGTTCCACCATTCCGGTAGTGAGTAAGCATTCACATACTCGCGTTATGGTTGATAGGGTGCTATTATCTCATCACAAAGAAATGCACGCATGGCAAGTTTCGGAACCAGCAATGAGTTGCAAATGGAGTAGTCAAGGCCAAATTACCGTATTATATATTTTGAAAATTATTGTTTAATCAGTCCACGATAAAAAGTAGTGAATCCGAAGGAACTAGACTACCGTTTGTTGGGAAGCTTGCGTCGCCTCAGTTTGAAGCAGTATCACACTGCCCGGGCTTAGGCTTCAACATATCTCATTGATTTTTCGCTCAGCTGTAGAACGACCGTGCAGTCATCTGGATGTCTATTGGCCACATCAGTCGGTTTCTTCCGGAAGTCATCAGCTGGGCTTGCTTCGCCAGGCAGATGGGCCGTCTGACAGGCGGCCACAAACATATCATAATAATCAATGTCTTCCGCGTACAGGGGACAGAGAATAGATGGACATTGCAAAATACCATCAAGCAGCCACATTATGCCATCACGGGCCGGTAGGTTCCATTTGACAACCTTGGGCTACAAGCATAAAAACAAAAGAAAGAGTGGTTGGACAAAGTCCGGCCATATCTTTTGGTGTAAGGCAAGGAAATCCCGTTCGAATGATCCAATGCACTGAATAGTCACTGGACCGTTGTCCGTGACATTCAATCAACCTTGGAAATGAGGGAAATCTAATCGTGAACTACGGGACCGTGAAGCTAGAGAGCGACAAAAATGTTTTGTGCGAAATAGTACAATCTCAACCGTTCTTTTCAATAGCGGAACGATTGCGAACAAGCCCAATTCAGAAATTACAGAGGGGAATATATGCTATTATAGCATTAATCACGTAGGTCAGATATGACGCAAGATAAACTCAGGCATTTTTTGTGGATGCCTAAACTTGATGTATGACGAGGCAGTATTGCATACGACACCGCCCTTAGTTTTCAACATCAACCATGACTCAGCATTTCAACAGCCAACTGAGATCTTGCAAGACTGAAAACTTCTCTTGTCTGTGACGGCTTTACTGTTCGTTTACAACTAGCGAGATCATTGGCCAAAACAGGATCATCGAATACAGTTGGGAAGAACATAGATCTGGAACTTGATAAAAAGCGTCATTGTTTCATCGATAATCATGAAGGGGGTACAAGTGATGACAAATGGTTTGCTATGTTCAATCTAGTGAAGTGTGCGTTGGGTAGTGATATGGGTAGGTAGGACCGCGCAATTGTAGCCGCAATACATTTGCAACATAAAGAAGTACTCTGAAAAACAGTCAGAATTCATAATTTAAAACAGGGCTTGGGAATTGAGAAGAACTGGCATTCAGACAATTTTCACAGGTCTGTGTGGCACCCACACCTGCGTAAGTAAGGAAAAGTGCATTGCGTAGCGGAATTGTATACTGCCTTTCTATCCTTTGTGGCTACAGACGGAGTTTTGGAAGTTCAAGTTTTCGATTTCAAACAGATCAAATCAAATTATGGTTCTAGTGCAATCTATGCACAGGTAAACGAAGTGGGACTTTCTAAGGACCGTACACAACAAGGTAACGAATTCAAAAATGCACTTCAAGTCCCATTTACTAATGAGACTTACCCAGAACGTACTTCAAACCCCCCTTGTTCGGAATTTATGAACACCAGGTAGCTTTTTGCCTGACTCTCCAGGGAATGTGACACATAGGGTAAAGTTCAAAAAGTGGTTCAAGACTAAAAGAAAGCGATGTTAAGTGATGACTGACGCTGCGGTCTAGATGACCCACTTGACCATTTTCTATTGGCGCAGGACTCGAGAATAAGAGGGCAGCTACAACGGCTTGGGTCAGTGTAAATTCTCATGTGGATCCATTTATGTAGTACCCAAATGACTTTGATGGACTCCGGGTGAAATAATCATGGTCGACTTTTGTGAACCAGGAGACCGAACGATCACCCGTTTCCATCTTTCACCGATGACGTTTTAGAGTGACAAGACCCTCGTTTGCACTGTTCGTGAAGGGGATTACTGTTTCTCCGATATTTGAGTGTCCGATAGAGATGCATGTAGGGATTCAAAGGTGAACCTTGTGTATAATTTAGGAAGGTGTAAGAGAAAACATCTGTCAAAAAGGAACCAACAAATGAAGATGCACGTTCTAGAATATTGATTTTTACATTCAGTCCGGAATGGTCCTGATAGTTTATCACGCAATTCTAGGAAGTCCCCTAATGTCTTCGGTTCCATATGCGCTATAAATTGGAATTGATCATTAATCCAAAGAAGAGTTTTCTATGAATGAAAGGTTTCGAAAATCGAAGAGAAGCCTCGAAACTACGAAAGACAGACTGTTTCAATAGTGGTTCGCGACCTACTCTAGGATGACGAGTGTTGATTATTGAATATATCACATACGTCTGATCATCGTCACACTGTCTTCTACCGAAAGCTCCAGATAAAGACCACTCTAGATTTCGGACGGATAAGGTAGAATTGCGAGAGTTTCACAGTAATCTGGACTTTGAGGACGTCACATTCATCTGTTGGACTGCAGTCGACTCCGGTGGATTGCTTTCTTGTGACTGGCCCTTCTGGTGTGCAAATGGATTTACGTTAACCGAAGCAAATCTTTGGCAACGGACCGCTGAGGACAGGAGCCAACACACAAGAACCTCTGATAGAAATATCCACAACTCGAGTCACATGAACCTACCCATTGGTCACGAGGCATTTCGTCGTGTCCGATGCGCATCACGCCACTCGCGTCACGCCAAAAGGTCAACTCCACCCCGGCGGAAGACATGAATTTATGCACAGAGTTTGGTGGAAAATATCCAATGTCTCCACCCCACAGGTAGAGAGGTACATGATGAAGTAGCAGAAACTGAAATGAAAAGGTGGTCAGTAAACACCAGTTAACTGTTACCTTTTCTAAAGTCTCTCCTTGATACATTGTGTTTTCTGGCCTATATGGATTAAGACTCTGTGGGGATGCGCGTGGATCTTTCCATCCGTCGTCAGTAGTGACCAAGTAAAGATTCTTCGGTGCGTTTTTCTGAAAATGCTTTACATCCATTTCGGCTTCGATCGTTTTTCTATTCATTAACCTGTGGCGGACGGGGGGATCAAATTAAATGAATACAAGATGCAATGGTTGGGAACATGAGCACAGTGATGAAGTGGCACCCGTCTCTGGATCTTCCTGTCCCAAAGCACAATACTGATCGATAAAATGGCTAAATCATCATCATCATCATCATCATCATCATCATCATCATCATCATCATCATCATCATCATCATCAACAGCATGAAATCAGCGTTCAACACCGATGCTTCACTGCCGTAAAATAGGTAAATAACCGTGAAGATAACACCCGATTGTCAACAGGCGGTAGCTGGGGGTGACCCGTGATTTCCACACTGTACTCAACCAGTGGGTTAATGGCTTGCATCGGTCAGAAGCCATACGTAAGAAACTACATGAACCACAGCCTCGACCATGTATCGTCTATTCGACGACGGCTGCAAGTGTTTACTCCTAGCACTGCTCTAAGCCCAACACTAAGAAACGAAGTTTTCCGTTCCCATGGGTTTTGGAGTTTACTTATGGTGAATGTGGCAGTTCACTCCGCGGTATCTCGGTCTTTTGCTACTTTTCCTGATCATATGACATCGACAGCGTCATTACTGCATCTAATGTTGTCGCGAGTAGTCATGTAATCAATAAAAGATAACTGAATGCATACTCAGATTCCAAGGTCCTGATACACGCGGCCGATGCAAATGTACCTTTTTAAGATACTTTCGATCTTTTCCACTTATGATGGAAATTTATTCGCACAGGAAATTCTCTTTTTTGGTCGATGAGTAGACAGGCTTGAGTAGGCGCTCTCAAAATTTTCTCGCGGTTATCCTTGATTTTGTCTACGTTGGTGGGTCTCCTTGATCCTTTTAATGGCAAGATTTGGTTTTTTCAGTTTCCTGAAAAGTTTTCGGCCCTATGATTTTTGACTCAGGACACAAGGGACCTGTTGAATTCTCCGTCTTAAACACGTGACAGGATTGCTCAAGCAACTCGATTCCATCAGATTTGGGCTCTAGTGCATTCACTGATGTTACAAATCGAATAACTTATCTTTGAGGAAAAACAAGAAATTTTTTATGATTTCTTCGTAGGTTTGACGCGGCATTATTAGATCAGCACTCTTCTCGTCCCACAGGATGTATCAGCAATGTTTCGGGTTTCCTATGGGTAACGTGACAATGAAATTAACGCTTCATTTTTTGAAGTGTTAGATTCGTCAAGAAGACACTTTCCATCGGCACGGAGTTCTTTAAACACCATATAGGGCAACACAAGAGGTAACATCAGCAGTCGAGATTGCTGCGTTGATGAGCTTGTAGCCACCCCGTCACCCACATACTTGACTGTCAGCTCACAGTCGCTCACTGGATCACGAGACTTGTTTTTTATACTCAAATCACGTCACATTAAGCTGACTCATCGGACTCATCGATTGTCCGTACCGTCTAGTGAGCGTAGCAACTACTCATGTGCTGACTCGCCCACGTACGCGCAAACGGACCTACATATAGGGGAACCGAACACAGCCAGCACACAGACTCGCGTGCGCAGGGACCGATGAGTCAGCCAAACACTCCAAGTTCACGGGCAATTATGGAATACGTGTAGCAGCCAAACTGCGGAGAAAACACGTTCCCGCCGTCCGGACTTTCACCAAGGGACTCTCACAGACGATAAGTTCCTTTTTTCGACTTGCTTCCATTTCCGCATTCTATTTGTTTTTATACGTGTTGCAACCCACCACTGTCATCCATGCTAAAAACTTTTATTAGTGCATACACCTTCTGATTTGTGTCATGCGTCATCAACAGCAGTGCACTAATAAGCCACGACATGAGGTGGAGCAGGGTAGTGGCGGCAAGGTGGCATTTTTCCTCGTTGGATGGCAGGTCGTTTCCATTGACTAGGACACTCTGAAAAGTCGCTTGGTCGTAATGGGATTAGGCCGCTTGTCGAAGCACTATATCGTTGCCACCATCTACGACACTGGAACGTCAACAAGAAGGGGTCAACTAATGTCCGAAAGAGCAGGGCTCCAGGACCAAGTATTGTGGTATGCTACGTTGGACAGACAGGGATCCAGGCAAAGTTCGACTGACAGACAACTATTATCCTATGTTCCAGGTGACATTGAATCTATCCCAAGGGTAAGCTACATACTCGATGGGTTGCTGGCTTTTACAGCTGGATTTTACGCATCACTCCGAGGAATGCCCTCGTGAAGCCAAGGTAACTGACCTCCTCGACTCGTCCTGGCATTCTAATGGAGAGTTTCGTTATTCTAGGTGTATGCGTAACTTACCAGTGACAATGGACTTTTCAAGGGACAGGGATGTGGGTGACTGATCTGTAAGTGACGGCGCTTGGCCGACTACCAATGTTGCGAATGAACGCGATGATGGTGTTAATTTGTTGCTTTTGAAGGTTAGATATCTTCAGCTGGTTTTGCAAGAATTTTGACATTGCACCGCGAATACACCAGTCTGGAAATCTAGCGTTCTGTGTTTATTTTGCCACAGTGTGCAGCAGAACGTTGCCAGAGAGTTTTGGGTCTGTGTTCAACTGCAGCTGCGTTGAAGGCCACGTTGTAGAGACCGCTCCATTCCGTGGAGCGCTAATACTTGGAGGTAGTATTTCTGTGATAGTTTGGGTCGAACACAAACCCAAGTAAAGCATCTATTTCTTCCTTCACGGTACGAGTTGGACCGTTGATTGTCTGGGTAATGGGTTTTCCTTAAATGGCTTTTTTGAGACGGTTAACGTGCCTATAAAGAAGCTTTGAGTTTTCGAAGGATTGAACGGCTTAGGTGACCTTTCAGCTTTGTTTGTCAGCTCCAAAGAGGGAGGTGCAGATAGTTCTCACTCGCACGTAGTCATTAAAGACTGACTTGCAATTTCAGATTTTTAAATGTTCCCATTTGATTATTAATTTCCTAGTTCTTCTCCCAACACATATTTGTCTGTTGAAAGTCACAGTCAGGGATTCAGCTTCCTTCAGTATAGCAAGATGTCTCTTGAAGACTCTCTATGCCTAGTCTTCTGGTTGGGTTTTCAGGAAGTCTAACCATTCCTATTAGGGTGGGCAAGCAGATTGCTGGAAGTGTACCGGAATACTGGTAACTCGGGTGCATTCATTGGTAGTTGATCAGGTGACCACTGAACTGTTCGCCGAGCTCATCAGTTAGGTTACAGACGTTTAGTCACCAATCCTGTTGACATTCTCGTTTATCGTTAGTCTTGTGTGAGTGGTAGGTTTGGCGAAGGTGCCCGTTTTTCAACGTACGTACGCCCCTTGCGTGTTTCCTTTAACTAGGGGGAAGCTGTTCGGTAAACTGACTGAAGGAGAGGTTCGATTCCTACTGATCATGCTGGGATGAGTAGCACTGGGTGAAAAGCTTCGTAAAACGGTGATGATCTCGGTTTAGGGTACCGGTGGTCGGAGTGATTTCACTGACGATCCTGGGTCGCTTAGCTCCCAGTTTAGCTGGTGAGATGGATTCGGCTTGGTGTGGCTGGCTTCATTCCACAGCCTGGTTAATTGTTGTTAACAGTACGAAGTCAGTGAATAGATGCGTTCGAAAAACAAATTGATCAAACAGGACTCAGGAAGCTTTTTATGAATGTTCGCGTAAGTCTGGATCAACACTAGTGCCATGGAGCCAGATCCGATAATAGGTGCATTTTGTGCTGTTTATTACCAAAGTTGTGCGAGAGCCTTGGTCTTCTTGCTTGGATTACCCAAACGTAAACTGTCTGCCCAAGCTTCATTGAAATACTTGGTAAGTGGGTCCCTAGTTCAACGTAGAAGTACTACGCAAAATTCCCTCCGAATTCTAGGGAGTTTTGGGATCTCTGTGCCTCCCAAAGGTATCTCGCGTCTGCAGATTCCACCGATTTCGCGCCGGTACTACAGGAGCAACTCTTTGTCCAACCTAGCCGATGTCCAAATCAAGTTTTGTTTTTTGTTTTCTGTTCATTAACGTTCCATAACTTATTTCGCATCCATAGCGGCTATCCCTCCCACATAGCCGAAAGCAGATTGAAAAAACCTGACTTACTACGTAAACAATCTAGGAAGAGAATAGGCTCTAGTGAAAACATTATCGTATCGTCCATCGCCTTGACATTTAAAATTGCCCATATTTCTTCCGTCCCTGTTGTTCCACCCCACTCCACCTTTGTGTTTAGTGCGTGCGTATGGACCGGCGTTTGTTTGTTCCAGCCACTTCACTCATTTGACTTTGAGGTCATCTAGCCTCTTTGTGACCGACCTTATGCACGCGTGACTGTCTCACGTGTGAACCTGGTTTGCTCATTTGGACCATTTTTTGTGGATGAGTATCTACTTTCGAGGTTGCTGTCTTGTGGATTTACCTTTTACATTAATAGTACCGTATAGAAACCCAGCTCTGACTTGGTTTTGCCTTCTAGGAGGCTCTGGTATCATGCGGCACTCGAAGATACCGTTTGGCTGTAACGATTGTCTAACAACACATTTTTTATTTGCCAGTTATCTCCCATCCGTCATCAGACCGATCGTCATGGTGTGATAGAGGCGGAGATGCCTCAAGAGACTGCAAACTATTCTAACTCACAGTATTTTGACCAGCTGTCCTTGAATCGCATGTTTTTGAGAGTTGTGCATGTGCGAGATTTATATTAGAACGTGCTATGTTCCTGATTGCAATGCATATAAAAGGAATAAGATCCCACCGTACTTAGACATCCTATCTCGCAAAATTGGTGTGCCTAAGGAACGCCATCCAAATGATTGAAGGGAATGGGCCGAAACTGTCCAAACTGTCCATGAGCAGCTGTCACATTTGTTTTAAGTGGTTACGGGATTGTTGTGGAATTCACATTCACATCACACTCGTCTGTTCTGACGCTATTGTTCTCATGAGTTCACACTAAGGGAGGAAGCACTGGACCCTGGTATACTCTTGTTAGACCTCGTCATCAGTTCATTTCCTTGGCTGTTACTGGTTCTGAACTCCGGAAATCTGACATGTGGGTTGAGCGTGTTAGTACTATCCCACCGACTCAAAATGTCTTCTATTAAAGAAACGATAGCACGTGGCATGTATCGGTGTTAAAAATCGGGCACCAGTGATGCTGCGCGTCCAAATCAGTTTTGAATATTTTGTCAAATGACCTTTGTTGTCGTCGGTAAAGAAAATCAGACGCGATATTAGTATCTCATGCAAACAGTAAACACTCAGAAACTAAAAACTCATGAATAAGCAGGGAATTTGAAGCTGTTTTTAGTGCATTCAGTGAAGGCAAGCCAAAACCACTAGGTCCTGAAGAAGTGCAAAATTTTCAGTTAATTGGAAAAACGTTTAGAAATGATTGAGAAGTCGTCATTTTAGTGGGGTTTGTTAAACCATCCGTCTACCTCGAAACTCGGTCAACCTGGTAACCTGCTCACTTGGCCCGATGAAGCATTTGTGTCAAAAGCGAAATGTCGCTCAGCCATACACACACCGACTGCTACTGAAAACTCGGAATTTTTGTCCAAACTCTTTGTGGTCCTCAGACTAACCCATTCCAGTGTGACCATTAGCCTGGCAATGAATATTTTTATCTAATCTTCAACAGAAAACCACTAACTCTTACACTGACTTGTTCAACGACTACTACCACCACGAACGTGTTTTAATGACCACGGTTCCTCAAGTTTTCCTAAAAATTGTATTTAAGTCTACATTACATAGGAACGAAAGGAAGGTGAGAATAACCGGTGTGCGCACGTACACAAAGTACACGTCAAGTGGAAATTAGTAAGTCGGTTCTAGTCCACTCTTATTTCGCCTAAACTGGTCCCCTGACAATCTTCGGATACAAACCGGACATGACACTGACAAAATCCCAAGTAAAACTTACAAAATCTCCTCAAATCACCATCAACTAATAAGCAGGTCACGAGAAGAATGAAATTTCCATATGAGGAGTCGCCATTCAGGGAGTCAGCCACCTAAGTCATGACCACATTATATGGTCACTGTGATTGAAGGATGAGCGGTGCTATACCTTGTGTAAGGGAGAGCTAATCATACATCTGTTCAGCCACTCGAGGTTGAACGGATAAGTGTTTAGCCACTGGCCGGGAGGCCGAAACTCTCTGAGTTTCTTAAGAAGCGCACTGCTGATGGTCCCCGTGAGTGTACACAGCTGTGCAATGCCACTTGGGTTTTCAGCATAGATTGCCCCCAGGGACACGAAGAATTCTCAATTGAAAATAACCCAATTTCCTCACACTACCTCTAATTACCAATTCTAGGCAGTCCACTTTTTAAGTGTCATAAGTGTTGTCATATGGACGAAAGCACTTCGTTATCTTAGGAAATCACTACAAAACATCACACGACCTTTGTGGGGCACACTCCTCTGAAGAACTATAAAAACAAGTGGTCCACTTGGATCAACCACTAACGTTAGGTTAAAATATTTGAATAGGTGCTTGAGTACAACATGTGGTCTTTGAAGCAGTCTTCTGTTCTCAAGGTCTGATGGAAATCAGTAGTTTCTGGTACTCATACGAGGCTGACTACAATCAAGCAGCGTTTATCAGCTAAAGTGCCAATGGAATGCCTAGTTTAGCCAAAAGCACCGGTAAAATGTACAAATATGTAGATAGGACTGGTGGCCCTCCACCATGGTGATCATTCTCCGGCTGTAGAGCGACCAAACTTGGTCGTCTGTTGAGTTGATCGCATGAGGGGAAGACCAGTCCAGTCCGGATTGGATTACATTTACGCACTGAATTTCCCTTACGTGGTATCAGGACGTTCCTGTAGGATATCGGTAAGATTCTTCTCCGGTGGGACATTGATTCTCGGTGTTATATAGATGGCCATATTATCCACAGTTAGGGCTGTCATATCCGGGATTGGTGAGTAGTGAAAATTCAACTGAAATAGAAATGGAAATGACAGCTTATTTGACCATGAGTAAAAGTCGGTACCATCAGCCCGATCGCCTGTCACGTGGTTCGGAGCGTCAGGAGAGAGGCGGGCAGTGTTTCTATAACATTTAAGCAATAGAAAAAGGTTCAATGTACAAACCAAATCAATTAAGTAATCAATTGAACCTGGTCAACAGGATTCGCCTAAGGGCAAAACTTACGGTAACCAGACGGACGTTCACTCAGACTGCACTGTGCACAAAACACATTTGCTTACCATTGGCCCTTGTGGAGTTTTGGTGAAGTAGGTGGTTTCGTACAGGTAGTCGTTCTTGTTATTCGTGCGATGACCCATTGTGTGACTTGCGAAACTCTCCATACTATCCAGTTTGTCGTTGGATTTGACGATGTGATATCGAGCCACTTTGCACCGGTATTCCTTATCAACTTGGAAACGCTGGTATTCTTCTCGAAACTGCTCATAAGATGACCACCCTGTTACGTATGTCGGAAAGATAGAGGGTGAGAGAGGGTAACTTGTTGTACTGGTAAATGGCGCAAATTTTTTTTCCATTTCTTCTGAGAACTTACATTGGAAGGATTCATCTCTTGGTAGTATGACGGCGTATTTACCATTGTCATCGATGTAGAGATCGCATTCCCTCATGAGCTTGACAAATTCATTCACCTTCAGAGCTTTTGCACATTTTTCATTTTCAAGCAGCATCTTCACTGAAGGAAAGAAACATTGAGTTGGCACGTGAGTCATTCTGCCACACGGAAAATTAACTTTCATACTTGCTTACTAACTGCATGTCCTGTTTGTATCCACCGGACTCATTGGGAAAAATCCGTCTCTAACTGGCCTGGGATTACACGGCTTGATGTCGCCAAAGGGGAATGGACACCGGACAAAAACTTTACTCCAATTAGAGCCTCCTAACAACGCATATACGCGATCGTTCCAGGACTTACCGGACTTACCAGGACTCCGAACCGTTGGCATAAGTAGCAGGCGCGCTAGCATAGATCCGTCAGAGCACGGTAGGCACCACTGGCTCATCAGGTTTGAACAAGTGAAAGGACTCACAATTTGAGCAATGTGACTGCTTTTCCCAGCTTGTCAGCAAAAACTAAATCCTTAGAAGAATGATAAGGCATGTGGAGGCTCTTCTGCGACCACCTGTGAGAAAACATCCACATCTTTCAGGAACACTTTATGCAGCCTCTTGACGCCGCTTTACTCCAAACGGAACACTTATTCCCGATGTTAGACGGTTACACCTTTATGACCTTCAAAATTCCATGCTACTCCAAGTGACGGTATAATATAATGATATAGCCAGAAGCAATTTAGTGCTTAGTAAAATACTACTATCGCTTTCTCCATGGCTATCACATGGACAGAAACCGATGGAAAGTAAAGGCATTCAGCATGATATTCCGGATAAAAAATGATCTAAAACCCTGATAATCTTGGTGAACCTTCTTTTTGGCTACCATTTAGCTGTTCGATGTCTACTCTGATCATACAACAGTCCTAAGATCTCCTAAGAGGGTTCCATGTAACGTTCCTGATGCCTATATGAGTGGAATTTATCCCAGTCGTCGAGTAGTAGTTCAACTGTGCGGGTTGACAGTGACAGGCAACATATCCTAATTACAGTTTCCGTTTGACCGAACAACGTAACTGGGCCGGGTGACCCCTCTGTGAAAGAAAAGTCCGAGAGATAACCTGTTAACTAGGATGCGTACCTGGAAGCTTGGTCATACCATTCGGTGACAAATGTCCCTCAACTGGCAAATGATGTGGTAAGTTTATTGGAGACGAATAAAAACCACTAGCGTTGAATTCCCGTTTTTACTGCCTGGNCACGAAGAACTAAGCCTTCAGAATACTAAGCTCACAGGTGTGACGATCCAGCGCTTGAGACAAGTTGAATGAGCTACACAGATTTGCTGACCCACCTTCATCCGTGTTAACATGAGTGTGTTGACCAGTACAACGAAGCTGCAGTGCCTGTTGTAGTGTTCCGCATTGAGGTATTAGACTCAAAAACAATAGCTGCAGGGTTTCGCCCTACAGAGACCGTCATCTTCAGTTGCACAGATAATTTCCCACATAAATAGAAGGAAGCCCCCTCCATTTGATTACTACCCAACCGTGCCGTAGACATATTCCTAGCAAAGCAAGCCATGCAACCTATAAGGAACTCTTTCGATTGCCGAATAGTCTGCAAGGAGACTATTTACTTGTTTCATCCCATGCTACCTTGTTTACAGGTCAGGTGAGGTATAACTGTTAACATGCAATTATTACAGGCTTTCTACATGACAGAAGGTGTGGACTGAAACCAGCCACTTGTCACCATAAATAATTCAAGTCCATGTACACAACTCGTTAACTCATGGTTAGTCGTGGCAAGTGTGAAGGACAATCAAATTCTTGGATCAGTAACTCAGAAGAGATGGATAGGTTAAGTGGACAGTCTATAGTTAAAAAGACATTCACTTCGAGAGCTTCACACCCATGAAACAAAAGAGGGATTCTGGGTCTGACTGGCAGATCGAAAAGCATTTGTACATAAAACATCTACCAAACTGTATCTCAAAGACAGATGAATTCCGTTTAATTCTGGGTTTTGTGCATACTCATTTGAGCATGTGCGCTTCACCTTAGGATTACGAAAGAACTGCCACACCTCCAAATTTAAAGGTGCGGTGAAAAACAATGCACCAAGTTTTTACCAAGTCTGTGGCCACTGCGCAATGTTGTATCTTTGCCGCAGTCTTAAGGAGGTTATCGCTTCTTTCATCCATTCAAGTGCCACTCGAACTGAGTTATCTATATCCCTGTGGGCTTCACCAAAAGTAGTAAATCATCACATCGTGAAAAAATAAGACTTGAAGCAGATGGACAAACGCATTGTTTGAACAATTTAAAGTGATCCCCCTGAGTGTGCGAGCTCTCGAGACCAAACAAAATCATGTTATTCTCGAGAGCGTACTTTCTTGGGAAGCACAAGCTCTGGATAAGAATTTTTGCAACATTTTTTGCCGCAAAGCTCAAGTAGACACCAACCGATGTGATGGGAAATACACCAAGGAGTCGTTCTACTAATTTACCCGCAGCGAAACTTGGTTATTTTGCGTGTGGAGTGGAGAATAACAACCTAGCGTCATTGCCATCCATATATTTGTTTTATGCAGTTGAAAATACCTGAATTTGACCCGTAACATACGCGGAAAATTCGAAAGGTCTCCATAGCGCTTGAAGAAAGTCCTACTTTTTACTGCGGTCTTAGGCAGCACCAACTGAGACGGTGTCTCGAGTTTGCTTCAGAAAAAAACGAGTGCGGTTCAAGCGGTTCTAATCAGGTTTTCCATACACGTACACGAAGTGCTGAACGTTTCTAGAACAAATATCCGTTTTTTGCAACTTAGACCATCAGCTAAAGCCGTAGTTTTTAGGATAGGGTTGTGTATATTTTCAATCTACGTGGTCTGGTTGCTTTCTTCTGGGAAATATTTCTCTGAAAACAGTCCATCTCGTAGTACAAATGAATTTGAACCGAGCCGGTTAGTTCTTTTCAGGAAGACAGTCTGTTCGAGAGCACCATCTTGCGAGGTATTTGAGAAGAAAAGGTTGGAGGATGGGCATGTCCATGCAGTCTCCGCAACAGTACTTGTTAAAGCAAGCAAAATAATTTAGAGCATCGCTTGTGCCGGTCTAAAAAGTGGACGACCGGTCTTGGACTGGATAAATTCCGCTCCACTTCACCAGTAGTGTGGCAGCCACCCCTGGTCCAATTATTCCGGTTAGTTCACACAAGAGCGGAGAAGCAATCGAGTTTAGTTTTACTCTTACTAGCGATAATCAGCAGTGAATATCCTTAGCCTCGTTGAGACTTAAACTCTACGGACGTTTGACCTGCGAAGACAGCGTGAATGGGATTTTCGAAACCACAAAAATATAAGGCACAACTGATCGAACAGAATCATTCGGTGGGATACAAACGTTCATCGGGAAGTCCTGACTGACGGGTGTCTGTCGATCAGGATAGTTGGTCGGACCTATCCTAATCTGGGATTGGTGTGGTTCCAAAGATCTATCCTACTTGAACCAATCGAACGGTAGACGATGAAGTTTGCTAATTTGCGTATGAGTCGACTGGCTCATAGTAACAACAAACGGTTAAAGAAGAATTCGACGAGGCGAATATTGGCAGTGTGGCTATAACTAATAGTGATTTAGAAGCCACAAATATGGATCCACTCTAGTTAGGCAACCTGTCAATCGTAATCTAACTACGGAAACGAGTCATGTTTCTCTGAAAAGACTATCTCAGACAATGAGACCTGCTCAACGAAGAGCAGATTCCAGTTGAGTGATGCGTCAGGCCATGTTTACTTGTTCGTTTCGGCTCAGAATCAGGCGCAGAGAGCTCGAAAATACTGATACTGTCTTATCAGTCATTTGAAAAAAAACTTTGCAAACAGCAGACTTTAGTAAATGAACAATTCCTCAACAACCTAGTCGTGATAAGTTCGGCTGATATTGATACGGCAACAACCGTCTTAAAGGGCCGTTCAGAATCGGCCGCGATAGTTGCAGGATGATTCTCAGAGGCCAAGGTAAGTGAGTGTTTTATGGATGGATTTTGACAAAGACAAATTCCAGTTTGTATAAATTCGGCGGTTTCCGATACTCTGTGAAACTAAGTGGAACTCTCGTCACCAAAAAAAATTCACCTTGCCTACTCATTAGTTTTGCAATACTTAAACGAATGTAAATTTGGCGACCTAGCTTAAGGTAGAATAAATAAATAAATAAAAAGAATGGAATTCGCATCATTTGCGTACAGCAGCAAGTCAAGATAGTTCAGCGCGGACTTAATGACCGAAAGTTTCGTACTTTAAATCCAACCCCAGCATCTTGACTGCTCCTGTCTATGATTGAGCAAGCTTATGTTACCTCAGCCTTCATGTCTCCTACATCGAATGGTTGATTCGGCTGAACAAATATTTATTATTATTTTACCAGAAAATTTGGGAAAGTTCGAAACCTTTGTTAGTTCCTTCGGCAATGGCCTCCGAATGATGTCAAGGCCACACTCGGATACCTCCATTACTTTCCTTATCTAACGGGAGTGGGGGTTTACCAGAAGGAGAACTCCGTTTTTAGTGCAGTCCACCGCCTGTCCGAACTGAATGTGCACAAGTTAACACTATGGATAACTCCTCCGTTCTTTGAGATCAAAATGCTAGGTTATAAAACCTGTCTTTTACTTAGGGGACATTGCATCGTATGACCATCGATGGAATGTATTAGGTGTGACCGAAAGTGGCTGAGGCAGGTCAAACGCGAATGGCTTAATTTGATGAATCCCCAAATTTGTCTGATATAACGAGAAACAGTAACAGAATGGTGTGGAATTAGTCGGCTTTGAGAATAGGGGAACTCACTTGTCAACGGCGTTATCGCCTTCTCCAGCAGATGAACAACGCCATTCGCGGCAGCCATGTCGGTTTCGATAAGGTTTATTTCTTCGTCGCACTCGGTCATGATGTATCGCTTCTCTTGGGAACTTTGTTTGTCAATGGTACATATGATCTTGACCTTGTCCCCAAGCACGTTAGATTTTTGGTTCATTTTACTGATGAGTGCACCCGAACAGACTTGATTTGGCAGTACATGTCTGGCCGCAATCTGTAATGTTGATGGTGGTGATGAGAGGAAAGAGGTGATGCGAATTGAGGATAGATATCAGTAAAGCTTGTCGGTGGTCGAATCGCTCGCTGAGCCTGATAATTTCCTTGCCAAGTTTCCGTCATTAACCGGGGCAATCCTATCACTGTGTTGTTGTGAAGCGCAATGGAGCTGTGCGTTGGTGGTTGTTTGCAAGAAAACTGCTAACCTAAGCTAAGCTAACAGATGAATATTCCAACCAACTTTCTATTCTATATCAGAATTAGGTTAAATAAAAATCTCCTACTTGAAAATATGCGAACAAAATATGCACAGAAGCTACGCACGGATTGGAACGCTGCATGCAGCTTTCCAGAAAGAAGAAAGAGACCCCCGATAATCTGGGATTTGAACCCGTGTATTACCTTATACTTGAACCCAAATTGCACGACACCAGCGAAGTACACACATTTGCATACCAACTTGGTTTTGACGGAGACTGGCCTGAAACCCAGCTGAATTTCTCCTTCATGATGTCTCCGGTGAAAACTAAATTAATGTGCAAATGAGTGTATTTGTCGAAATCTGTCCACTCTGGGTTCAAGTAGAGCATAAAGTTGACGCAGACTGGGGGTCTGCGTCTACCTGATGAGCCCCAAGAAGGGTGAAACCGGTTGTGGGCTGTCGGAGAGTTCACAGCACCCTTATGAGTGGTGTAATGAGTCTATACATTTATCGCGATATTTCGAATATCGTATCAACTGAAACATGAGATGGCCTGACGCTGCACATCTAAACTGGATGTGCTGTTGAGTAAGAACGTCATAAACGAGAGATTCAGCTGGGTTCTGGGTGAGCTTCCTGTCAGAGCCGAAGAAGTGTGCAGATTAGCGTATGAGTCGAAGATCTATTCTTGCATTCGAAAAACACTTTGTATAGTCGAATAAAACCTCCGTTCGCTAGATACGCTGTGGAAAACGGGATAATCAAAGCTTCAACTTCTTCCAGGAGAACAGTCAGTGCTCATCCAAGACCAGGTATGAATTTGAAATGATCGACTGTTGCTGACCGTCTTGCCGGTATACAATCCCGACACTCCCTCGGCGAACAAGCTTCGTGATCAAACACACTGATATGAGGGCACTCTGCATATGCTAAAACGCTCATCAACAGACCAAAGTAGTGCTACAGTAGTGAAGGTCAGTTTACACTAGAGAATCAAAGTCCCCAGGCCCACTACCATATGAGGTAAATGTGTTGGTTGTTGATCAGGTGGTTGTTGATCTGTTCGTCACTGCGCACTGATGATGTCTCCTCGTATGGCGGCGAAACGTTTGCAAGCCAATTGTCAAGCTCAGCGAACAGATCAACAGCCACCTGAGGCAAATGTGTCTTGTGTGATAATCAACTGACCAAGAATCGGTCGTTATTTAAGCAAAAGAGACCCCAATGTTCATAGATCACAAATACACATGATAACAAACACCGAGGGAAGTTAATATTACATATAACAAGTCACAGGGGAACCTAGAAGCTTCTTACGCACCCTAGTCCTGCAAAATCCAGGAAGCTGTCAGACGCAAGTCAGCAAGAATGACTCTTTTACAAACCAACAGCCTGGAAGAGCTAATCAGACTGAGAACTAATCACTTTGCTGATTAGCCGCTCATGGTCAAAGGATTGTGTTCAATCACTGGCCGGAAGGTCACGGGTTCGAAATTATCTCAGTTTCGTGAGATGCGCATTACTGATGATTCACAACAGAGATAAAACAGTCGTACAGTTCTCCTCGACCTTTCAGTCTAGATTAGCTCCACTAACAGGACACATTCTCTATTGAAAGATCCTAGTTGAAAACTTCTATGGTGCAACAGTTACGATAGAAAAAAACAAATGAGTGCGTTTTCAGGCAATGTGTAAGACTGTCTAGTTCATGGCCGTTGTTCCAGAGTTGTCCAAGTGTGACAAGCAAATTGATGCCTCCGGATGGAGCTTTTCGCAGGAGCCACAGTAGTATATTTACTGTCACATTGACACGTGGTCAGCGCTCCAGATAGTCACTTGTGTGCTACAGTCAGCACAATCATTTCACAAACCCATGAGCAGAATGAAGGAGAAAGTGTCAACAGCTTTCCCTAGGTTTACGTTCGTAGACATCGTGGCAGCCTGATGACATACCTAGTGTGAAGTGCTTCAGCCAGATTCACGCCTTCGCCAAACCTGATTCACTGTGCAAGCCGGTCTACCTCTTCTCACATGGAACGCTAAGGATTCGTGTGTCATGCATATGGTGGGGTGATTTACAAACAAACTTCAAAGTGTTCACCAACAGGGCTTCCAAGAGGTTGTCATGCTCGCTTCCAATGGGAGTTTTGACAAACAGTGTAGAGTGGATAGAGATGCGTGCCAAACCTACTTGTTGCAGCTTTTCCCCCGTGAACTGTCTTTTTATATCGTTCCAAGCCTGAGCGCGTGGTGCTAAGACCGTGTAGCGTTTTCCAGAATAAACCGCACCCAAGTCCCGCTTGAGATCAGATGGCAGGTCATTAGCGAATGCCTGGGTTTCCGGGTGGGATTGAAGTAGGCTCATAACGGACGTTCGATCTGTGTTTGTGAACGTTCCTCTCCCGTTGAGAGGCTGAAATCGATTAGTGCCAATTTCGTGTGAGCAGGAGGTAATAGAAGCAGCGGATTTAACATTTTAAATGATTGCACCTGAAAGCGCTTAACATTGTACTCCTTTTCAGCAACCAACCATCTGGATTGTCATTTTTGCTCATTTTGGTCATTTCCTATCACGAATAGTTGAAGATTGTGTTGCAAAGTTCCTCGTCATATTGCTCAGGTTAAATTTGTCACTAAGTAGTCGGGTGACAACACTGTTCTTCGTGCTCTGCTAACCGGACACGTGAGATGTTGCAAGACCCTCTACAAGAGCAGGTTTGGGAGCAACCTCTCTACTAGGAGTTGCAAAAAGGAAAGCTTACTGTCGAACTACAGTCAGCTGAAAATTGAAAGTTCGGAGTACGGTGTATCGTGAAGAAAGATCGACGCCACGCAATATGTTTGGTGAAAGACTGCCAGGGGCATCTTGATGACTTTTAGTCTGCCAAATAGATGAAACCTGATATTAAGTCGAGAACGTTCTTTGCAATGCCCGGTGGTCTTCCAAATCGAGAAACATAGAGGAAATTCACCCTTCTCCTAGGAGTGCTTCGTGATTTGAGACAATGATCGTGATAAGAAAGACTCTTTTTAGGGAAACTTTAGACAACAAAGAGTATCCAATATTTTTCCACGTTTACTGTTGCGCTAACTAGTTGCTTTTGAGGGCAGAGGGTAGTCCCCATGGTAAAAAGCTGGCCAGTTTATTAACGCACGTTTCTTTTTTGTAATAGCCTAGTTTATTGACCAAGAGACCAGGCCATAAGCCACACCTACTGAACAGTTGCAACCGTCTGGGTGTTTGGGTATTACTTGCTGATATGCAACTAACATTGTATCATGAGAAGAGTCATAAAGGACCCAATAAAGGACTTATCCTCCAAATGCGGGTTCTTCTAATGTGCAGTTGCCAAAAGACTACTGGTCAAACCAAGCCTGCAAACAGTGTGTTCAAGGGGGTGCATCAATACTTGATAGGAAGAATAGCAAGCAATCCGAAGTAGTCTTGCTGATTGAATCCCTTAACTGATCCTACTAGTTCGGTACTTTAGTTGATGTACGAAACCTGAAGTCATTAACCGTGGTAAATTCTAAGCTGTATTGTTGAATGACTCGAAGGTTAAATAAGGACAAATAGCAAAACTGGAAAAGCCTGGTGCGTAAGTTACTAAATGAAGATGACGGAGGATGAGCTACGAAAGTAAACAAAAAAGGATGCATAATACTGGGTCATTTACAAGGTATAGTGCTTTGGATATAATAGAACCACAGAGTTCACGTTCACATCACTACCGTCTGAACGGTTGTCCTCCTCTCCTGGTGAGTCCACTTTAAAGAAGGGTAGCACTGGACTCGGATTTCGCTCTTATTAGAGCTTATCAGCGTTGTGTATTTACTGGCCGTACCAAGGTCTGAACTCCGCATATCTGACATGCGAAGCGAGTGTGTTACCACTACTTCACCAGCGCACATGAATGATCACATCTGAACAGGCGAACGTGGTCACGCTTAGGCGGTGTGATTGGCTTGTCAGACTCTCCCAGTTTTGGTTGTGTTGATCGATTGACCCACCTGTCAGGACCCGTGAAGTAAAGAGTGACCTACTGGGTGGGAATTTTTTTACTCAGACCGGACTGCGACTTGGGAAGTCCTACCAGATCAAATCCCTTGTAGGTCATGACCAAGTTCGTGATGCCTGGATGGTCATCTGGATCGTCTTTACTAAGCAAAATGATCCCGGGTTGCTATGTACGGTTGCACACCAACTTTTGATAAAGTCTTGAGCTTGTCCACTCTTCATAGGTCCTCAAAACCCGGAAGCTTTGTGACTGGAAGACTCCAATTTCAATGGCAAGTTCTTGTGGTCCGACGCTTTTAGACTCACTGGTGTTGGAATTGCGGTTGAACATGCTGACCACTTGTCGAGGTTTCATGCATTCAACCAGTAGTGTGAAGTTCTGGCTTCAGCAACAGCAATTGTCAATCCAGATGAACAAGCGCCTTAGTCCGACTTCTGCACAAACCCAGAAGCGATGAAGAGACTGCCCTGTCTGGATTTGTCAACATGAACTGGACTCACATGTCTCGTTCAGTTTGAAAAGACAAGATGACAAAGCAACTGAAAGTGTCAAAAGAATTCTTCAAGAACGGAGAATGCACTACTGCTGTGGAAAATAGCATGAGGAATTTGGTTCCTTAAGCTACAGAATGCTCATCCTAGTCCTTCCCTCCTCGTCGTTCAACAGTGTTTGTTATTGACACGCTGAAAGAGAAACGACTCTTCGAAAATTCCAACATACTCACAAAGTTTGGAGTTTTCCAATCTTTGTTTAGAATAAATTCGGTTTAGACTGACTTCTTGGCTTGTTCCATACGGTGCAATATGTCAGAAGATTTACCTGCTTGAGACCAGCCAGGCGTTACTGTTCTCTTGAATTTTAGATGGTAACGTATTCAGTTTACGTATTGATCAGCTGGAGTTCAGTTTAAACCAGAGTATCTGTCTGAGATCTAATAGCGCACTAGGTTTCATTTAGCATGATATTTCCGAATCAGTTAGATTTTGTACAAACGCGTGCTGTGTGACACTGATGGTTAAATCCCTTTAATAACTTCCGTGACCATCATCGTATAGATCAGATCGACCTTGCAATCACGTGGTTTCTGCCACTACTAGAAAGGCTGTATCTTCATTAAACACGTAAGCACTTTTCAATGTTGCATCGGTATATATTCCTCAAATTCAGTAGGACCAGAATTATTTGGTGAGTCGAAACACTGCATATGCCAAGTATCCTTGTAAACCTGAAAAATTAAAATATGGTGTCTAGCTGATTCAGTGCATTAAGAACAGATATCAATTTCAAAACGTGACAAAGTCTCCTAATTTCAGCGATCTCATTAAGTCGAACTCACATGGCGAAGTTTATGAATAACACCACTTCGACATTCTAAATCAACGTCTGTAATTTCTGCACAGTCAATTCCAAGAACCTGAAATGTTAAAGAGAAACAAGATTAGGCAAAACACTTCCCTTAGTAACTGAGCACTTGAATTTGAAGAACCGGTTGTCACGTTGCAACTACACTCACTCCGTAAGCGAAACGTGAAACGTAAAGCTTTCTTCGCCCATCTACGGTCTCTAGTTCCATCCCCTCCTTCAGGTCCTCTGCGTAAAAGCGCCCTCTGACCACATGTTCTGATGCTTCTATTGGGCTATCAGGCGGAAAGAAAGAGAGGGAAAATTTTAGACCTCTTGTAACTAATTCTACAAGTTCACAGTAAGGGGAGCCGGGAAGCACTGCCCGTCCCCTGAAGAGAATTTCTTCTCCCTCTCGGGGGGGGGGGGCCAGACGACGTAGACGACGTCAGAAAGCACTCAACAACTACTGTGGTTCAAATTACGGAAATTTGTGGTTGACTGCTTCCTAATTTTCAGGGTTCTTCCGCAAGCCATATACATATTTCGTGCTCTAGCTGTGTGGATTCGCACCAGTTGGCCGAATAGTTAAGAAAGACCAAAAGATAAGTAGAGCTATTACGTCTTCACTAATATGCCGTGAGTGAATTGTGAATGAAAATACCTCTAGGACAGTAGTGTTTAATCTGCCTCCATTATCTACCCTTCAGCCTGCTTCCCAGCTCTGTTATTCATCATTTACTACATTTGAAGCTGATCCCCAGGGGATGAATCACTAATGACCCTGAAATGGTAATATTCGATTGAAGTGTACAATACCATAAAAAAATACACTCATTCATATATCAATTTGGTTCCGACGGTAGCCTCACCTGAAACCAAGCTGAATCTCTCGTTTACGATGTAACTGCGATTCGTCTTCACTAATATGCCGTGAGTGAATTGTGAATGAAAATACCTCTAGGACAGTAGTGTTTAATCTGCCTCCATTATCTACCCTTCAGCCTGCTTCCCAGCTCTGTTATTCATCATTTACTACATTTGAAGCTGATCCCCAGGGGATGAATCACTAATGACCCTGAAATGGTAATATTCGATTGAAGTGTACAATACCATAAAAAAATACACTCATTCATATATCAATTTGGTTCCGACGGTAGCCTCACCTGAAACCAAGCTGAATCTCTCGTTTACGATGTTCTTAACTGCGATTAATCGGTAGAGACATACCAATCAGAGAAGTCACGGACTTGATTCCGTTTGGCTCGTTTCCAGCGTGCCAATTGCAGCAAAACTAAGTGAATGAGATTAAACTACTTAATACTGCCCATAAAAACCACTGACCCAAACTTAATACCAACCCTACATTGTTCTCCGCAGGAGCAGGTGAGGGGTAAATCCCGATCTCATACTGATGCTCCTTTGGACTGGGCACTGCTAATATGTGGCTAACAATGCACTCTTGCTGTTTGGTAAGAGGGCGCCTGGCACAGTATAGCGGGTCAGTAGAGCTTGGATATACTTAGTGCTGATTAAAAAGCGTGGCGGGATATTCCAGTTTACTCGAAGTTCAGTGGGCTCTATTGACCAATCAAATATTTTGGCGGTAAAAGGGTTCCACTTAATGGGGCCAAATGAACCTGATCCATGGGCAGTTGACCGACAGTCGGCAACAGAAACGGCAACAGAAACGTCGGATTGCGACAAAATATTCCACGCTGTGTTTTGACCTTATAATTAAAAGTCGCCATAGAAACGCTATTTATTGCAGTTAGTTGCGACTTCAAATTTCCCTCACTTGAACGGGCCTCCTGCATGGTGCAATTATTCTCATGAGTTCACACCAAATAGAGGACTCGAGTTTTGTTCTTACCAAAGTCCATAAACAGTGCATCTCCTCGACCGTCCCGGGCTCTGAATTCGGACACATGACGTGCGTGGCGCATATTAGTCAGCTGCGTTTGAGCAAGCTCACACTTGAACTACTCTAACATTATCAGTAGTCTAAAACTGTAAAAAATATGTGCGTTGATGACGACTGTCAGTCGCACGGACCTCCCCAGGCGCAAATTATCCACTTACCCATCATCCTCACCCATTTTCGGTGCAAATATCGTAAATGGCCCTTCCGCTGCTTCGTTTTTCAGCTCACTCACAGCAGACAAGTCGGGGGAAAAGGGCGCCACTTCGGCTGGAATGTCAAATGACGAGAAACATTTCACTTGCATTATCGGCAAAATCCAAACTATTTGAGGCGTCGTTCAGTTATTTCAGAGCAGTCTTTTCAGGTATGGGCACCCCTGTGCTGGCTAACAAGTGATTTCAATCTAGGTTCGGAATCATACTAGTACTGAAATCTCCCCCAACGTCTGTCGTAGAAGTGGGACTCAAAAGAACGAGCCTGTTTATCAGCTAATGGTCTAATTATTCATTATTTTTTCGTACTTTATTTGAGGAAGTGTATTTCGGTTGGTGTCATTAACTCGAAATCTGCGAACGAGAAATGGCATTTCAAGACCACTGTGACCTAACATGGGGGGATACAGAGACTGTACCGATATTTCTGTACAGCCATAGATACTGGACCTTTGACATGGTTTACTGCAACAGAAATCTACCCAACTAAATGTATAAAGTAATATTGAAACAATTTTAAAGGTTTTTTGGAGCAATACCAGATTTCAAAATGGTTTCTGCGCATTCATTGTATGGAGAAATCATCCTTGAACATTTGACGGGCTGTTGTCGCCGATAGCCACCGAATGTGTTAGGATCTTCTTCGAAACCAGAGCAGCATTGGTAGATGAATCGTCTGAATCGGTGTAAAAAGACAGAATGGAGCATGTGGTGAGTGAAATCAAAAAAGTGCAGGATCTAACAGCTTTTGATTTGCTATGCTTCAATGCTTTTCTGCACCTTTAATTGTCCAATCCACTCAAAGAACTAGTCAGCAGAATACACCACTTATGTTGACCTGAAAACTCTTCGACAACCCACGACCTCTTTCACTCCTCTGGGGGCTCATCAGATAGGCGCAGTCCCCAAGTTTTCGTCAAACTTCTGTTCTACTTGAACTCAGAATGGACAGATTTCGACAAAAAACATTCATCTGCATATTAATTTAGTTTTCACGAGAGACTCACCCGGGATATCACAAAAGAGAGATTCAGCTGATTTCCGGGCGAGTCTCTCGTCAAAGCAAATTGGTATGCAAATGAGTGCATTTTGCAAACTAGTCGGAAGATTCGTAATAATAACTTCGTGATTTGGTTGTTTGCTGGACCTTGATAAATCGTTCATAACTGCACAAAGGAAGGGACCAAAACTTCACTTTGGGCAATCGCTGATAAAATATGCTCAAAAATGCATTTCTGTAATTCAGTGAACACCACTGGTCTACATGAGTAGTCTTCCCCCATATTCTGAAGCATCTCCTCCGTGAAGATTGATAGTTTTCAAGTTAGGCTTTGGTCATCCTTTTTTAGCATGACTCTAATTGAACAGGCCCGTCGTAACTGGACCGTTGAAACGATCAAATGTTTTTGACAGTCGTTACTTCGCCTTCCGTGCCAAAAATGATGCAAGTGTTTTGTTGCTAGTGGTATATTCAACTTGGTATTTCCAAGAGCAATCTGTGTACTGTAGCCCTCAAGTTTGGACTAGCTGTTTGTGAGAGGGGACTGCGATCACTCTACGTGAGCCACTACACGTTTGGCTGGTGCTTTTGATTATTCTACGCAGAGGGTGGGATCAACTGAGTAAACGAAACCTAGAATGAATGCCACTTCACTTTGTCGTCGTTCGACGGACGTGTCTCAAGGGTACTACGCAGTAAGGGTCGGTTCAACTGGTTATAAACTACTGTGCACCGCAGACTAGTTTCAAGTTTAAAACTACAAATTTGGGCAGATATTGTTCAGTAATATTTGAACTTGTCAACCGATGAAGGTGCGCATTCATTTCGAAGCCGTACGATGTATTAAATTGAAGCTCATTTTGTATAACAGACTGGTTGTTTACGTGACTGTGATCATGGTGCACAGGAAACACGAGTAGCGCTGTGATGCGTACGGATCCAGTAATCAATAATCATCACCCGCTGTTTGCAAAGTCAAATCGATAAAGTAAAACAACGGCTGACTGCAAGCTGGAATGCGACGTAGATATTGCCATTCGATCATAAACAGTGAATGAATGGTCGTGCTATGGTCGAATGGGGGTGAAAGCACATACAAATGACTTACGCTGTTTCACCACATCGCTCCATGTTATACGGATCGCATTCACTGTGTAGGTGTGTTCCGTCTGGTAACTCCCAGTACGCGCATTGCCGGTAGCTGGCGGAATCCGTAAGGGAATGAAGTGCATTTCAGATTAGGAGGTGGTAGAAAAACAGTTCAGCTGTGCAGATTTACAACGCCACCTAACGGCCGCGCCGAGGCTGCGGTCATATTTGGTCCACCAGGCCTGGACAAGAGCTGTCAAAAAAGAGGGTTCCTTTTGAGTTACTTATCCTTCGTTTATTGCGTCAACCGAAACGCTTTGAGTGCGGTTTTAGTTTACCAATTTATCCCTTCACCAATGCCCCACATCACCATTCTCAGTGAACGGGTCATGCAACAGATGTGATTTACATGTCGTCATGCAACACGTACGGACTCTTTCTAAAGTACCACTCTGGGGGTCTGGAAGAATTCACGGTATCAAAATGATCATGGGTAAACTTTATAGGCTGTCTCCACGAATAGATTTCCCTGAGGAAACTTTATCAGAATTATTGAAGGTTGACGTGTGGTTATGACAGATTCTTCACTCAAAGGACAACCAAAAATGGTCCTCACGTGACATCACCTTTGACGAGTTAGCCGAGAAAGTTTCAGGTTTTCTAATGCCTTCTGTAGAAGAGGTCAAACATTTCAAAAAGGAAGTTCCGATGAAAGTCACTCCCCCAGAGAAGGCCCACAAAAGATGCTCGATCCAAGAATGTTCCCGCTGATTGGATTGAAGTTACTTTCTGACTGACATTTGACCTCAAAATGTGCTGCGTTCAGTCAGATGTTCACATAGACAAAAGGTCGATACAATTAAGATTATTGTGTCTCTTTCTTGAGCCCGAAGAGGGACGAAACTGGCTACCAGAGAGTTTCAAGCAATGTATTATGTCAAGAAAATCACACTAATTTCTTCTGAACTTTGTGTAATGAAGGAGGATTCTGTGAACTTTGGTCGGGTTGGGATTTCCACCCCCCTGGTTTCGCTAATGATTCCACTTGCATTGGCAACCACACACAGCCACGTGTCAACTCGGCTTATTTAAGATCGCTTTCCATACGCTTGCCAGTTCCGCACCATCGATTCTGTTCACGCTGTGATTCTTGGTGATTTCCACCGTATCGGCTATCAGCCGCTGTGGCATGAATCGCAGTCTTAAATTTTCCGCATTCTGCAGGTCACTAACGCTGAGTCTTTGATCAACGTTCGGTATTCTTTCGCACTTCTTGATGGTTTATTTATCCTTTTTTATGTTCACCAATTCTGGCATGTAATTGCCTGGCAGTTTGTCCTATGTACACCTTAGTGCAATCGTTACAGTTAATTTATACACACAGTCCCTAGTCCTTTCAACCGAGAGAGGATTTTTCCATTGCACCAAAACTGAGGGTGGAGTTTTTCCGTTCTAGAAAGCTACTCGAATGTTGGCTAAGTTCAGCAGTCTTCGAGTAATCTCCGATGTCCCTGCTTTATATGGAACAACTGCTGTGCCAACCCATTCCTTGCTGGATCTAGATACCGGGGCCAATGCCCTTCTTAATCGACCCCTAATCAAAGCTCACTGGGTATCCTATTTCTTGCAGTCTGTTGGTAATCTCGATTTGAACTGCATTCGGTCGATCTCTTCTGTACACAGCGCTCTGACTCCATGAAACATCGATGAAACAATACTGGCGTACATGGACTTTTGATGTGTTGATGAGTAGTTTAAGACAGTTTCTGCACTCTTATGTATTCCACAGTTCAGAAAGCCCAGTGTGCCCCAGGCAAACTCTATCTCCATGTTAAACTTGATGTGTGGCTTTAAACTGTTGAGATAGTCGTGAAAGCTATTCACGTTATCTCGTTTGATTACAACAAAGGTATCGTCAACATAACGCCAATTGTATCCGACCAAAGTCATTTGTTCGAAGTCCTTCATACAAAAATTAGCTAAAACATTCGCAAGAACTTGTTCTTGCGAGTAAACAGTTGTGTCAAAAACAAACTGATCGAGATTTAAACACACTATTCTACTCTCAGCTCTTTCAACTACTTCAAGCATTTTTTCAGGGGGGACTAAAAATCAACCAAAGGACTGATCTGTTTTACAAGTAAAAGGTAGTACTTTTTCACAAAGAGCCCGATCTATCTCAGTCACCCGTTTCCTCGTTATACTATGGGAACTGTTGTCGATGATAGGATTAACCCTCTTTTGTAGATTTACAAGGTCTCATTTATACGACACCCATGAGCGTCACCGCATGGGTGATTCTTGAGCGGATAGGGTGGATGCATTTACCGTTCGCTGGGATGCCAGTTGTCGTGTTGGAAGAACTGGACTTTTCTGATCCACGCCGCCACCAAGTCCATCGTAAGTTAACACCATCTCTGTAAAGCCGCTTAGAAAAGCAGCTCAGAAATACGTCTAGACCAAAGCATACACACGCTTCTATTGTCACACCCCATTTGTTAGTTCAACTTTTCCAGGGCGTACCTTTAACTGTCCTACGTTTTACGCACCACTTGGGCAACAATAACGTAACGGTGTTTTGAGACTTGCGTTTTACGCCATCCTATAGTCCGATCTGTAATTCTGTTTTCCAGTGTTTTATATAAGGATTTTGCTTCAACTTTTTGTATAAATAAACTCCTCACAAAACTGAGGTGCGTTTTATTCGGTCTGAGGTCGAAATGCAGGATAGTGAACCATATGAAGGGAGAAATCTACATGGTTTCATTTCATTTCAGGTCGCAACCGTCAACGCACGTTTCGAGTGTTATCCTCATAGTATGGTCATCTCCAGAGAAACAAGCGTGGGCATTGGGGGTGAATAGATAATAGGCTATCAGAGGGTAGTAATCTAGGGTGAAAAGGAATCATCCGACCTCTCAGCTGATGTCATCAGTCTAACATCAGACACTTGGGTTGTTTACATTGCGCGATTCTAAGCGTCAGTCGTACGCATCCAATCTGTTGATAGGGAATGATAACAGCATCGATGGTGTTCGCAGCTATGGAAAATCCCCGTAGTTCGTTGCTACTGAGCGTCATTTGGTCTTCAAACTTTACTGTAAGTCTCTCATCTTGAATATCCCTTGAAACTTCCGAGTCAACTGAAGTTTGTTACTAGACATCAGGGAGTTGATTATGCTATATATATATATATATATATATATATATATATATGAGTTTTGTAGTGTTAACGTAAGTTGATTCTTGATGAGTGTAAAGAAGTACCGCGTACTCTTGTGGTCCCCACTGAGCGAGTCTGTGGGGTCATTATTTGACGTACGAGGGTGATGACGGTATTGATCAAACGACGGGGAAAACGTTCAAGTGAAGGGAATAAGGCCTTCGCTGCGGAGTGACTTATTAGAAATGCCACTGACCAGTTACAGACTATTGGACAGGGAAGCAAAACTCTCATATACATCTTATTCACAAAAACTGAACATCCATCTTCTCTTGAAGGCGTCTTCCTAAACTTTCTTGGATATTCATTGACTGTTGCTCAAATCCAAGCAAATGCTACAAAACGACTCCACAAATTCCGCAACAGATATCGCTTTTCAAGAGACGCACAGCGAATTTACGAGAAGAGACCATACTACTCGCATGCCTCACCCACCAGTAGTATCACCATTGCACAGGTATGGAGTCACTTTTTGCTATTTCCAACCGTCAGATTCGTTACCAGAGCACACCTGCAGGTGCTGCAAAGCTTCTTACGTTTATGCAGTTTGAGAAACTGGACAGCGGTTACATGTGTGATAGCTGCGAATGAGTAACGGGCAAACATGATAACATATGTTATTGGCAGTTTGACTGGTGCGTGGGATCTAATCACTGTTTTGTAAGTGTCTTTAGTATGCGAGCTACCGGTAAGCCAGGTAGCGTATGGGAGCCGACGGAAACTGATCATATATTCGGGACGCGAGTAAAATATTTATCCTTAGCTAAGCACATATGAACACTATGAAAACGGAGGAACCTGTTGACAGAGGTAAAATTATCGTATGCTTATGCTTCTTGATTCTGACAGAAAAACCGTTTTCCATTGGTTCCAACGTTCAACGAGTAATCTCTTACATGCTCAATAGTTTGGAGCTATGCCAACGACTTGGGATGATCTGCAGAGTGTTCATTACTACCTATGTTCACTAGCTTGGACGCGTGATCGGCGTTTTGGTACGAATAATCGAACTGCTTACAGGTCCACTGCAGGTCCCGAGAGGCGGACTCATAAGCATTAAACAAATACATTGCGCTACTTGGCTCTTCAGAAAAGGTCTACATCATTAGCAAGAGGGGACCTATATCGTCAGCTTCAACTGCACTCCACTCCACTCATAAACTTATCGACTGCTGCTCAAATGTTATCGTCGCGCCCATTGAGGTTTTTTGTGCAACACTCCCGGTTTGAAGGAATTTCCAGTTAGGGTAAATTAATATACGTAGAGGATCTGAAAATTCTGTCCTGGGAAAAATAACGGGAATTCAGACGTTATACCATCGAAAACTTTAAATACTGACAAAACGGCGTGGACACTGAAGTTTTATTTAAGGTCATAGGTCCGATGAATTTGACTGTGGCATTCAATACATGCATAGTTAGATTTGTTGAGACCGGTAAAAGTTGTTCTCTCGTATGAAACATCCATCCAACCTATATTTCCCTCGTTTTCTGCAACAGAGACTTACTTACCCTGGACTTATTGACATCCTAAGTGAATTTATCGCAACTGTCATTGGTACTTAACTACACTAGACCCGTCCAAATGGACAAAAACTAAAGGTCTACCACCACTTTCAGCCACCCTAGAGAGCGATTGCCTCTTAAGGATCACGTGACCCCGTGGATTCAACTTTCAGATAAACTTCATACTAACAACAGGATACTCTCATCTTTCCGTAGAGACACATCAAAAAGTAGTGTTATTTTCATTTTATTCCCCAAGCTAGTAATGATTGGATAATAACTGGCCTAGCTGCTACGTCGGAGATGTTAAGGCGACTTCCAGAAGCGCTGTAAGCACACTTGCTATAAACTTCACAAAGATGACTGAAGTTTGGAGTTTACTCATTTGCAACGGATGCAATCGTATGACTCATGTGACCAAAGAATAGGTGTTCTGCATGTGCTCATTACTTCAGCGGGCCATAAGATAGAACAGAACAAGATTGCACGTGATGCAAATTGTGTAAAACTCATTTTTAGTAAAAATGCCATGAATCCCCTTATCAGGAAGGTCACATTCATGAGAGCAACCACTAAGTACCCGAATTCTACTGAGATTCTCAGCTCCGCTAGATGTTGACCAGACAGACAACATCCCCTCAATATGCAGCGCGTCACAGCCTCGTACCAAAGCCAGACCGTGTGCGTCAGCATTGGACTAAGTTCAGACAGTGTCCTTCCAATAAGTGGATTGAGACCGTTGTGCTTTTCGCACTCGCACGCACTCACGCTTTCACACTCACTTCTTCGGAACATAGCTGCTGTGTTCCCTTCTGTGGGTCTTTTTTTCTCCGGCCCTAGGCACTGGAGTGGGTCGGCAGCAGATATCACAGATTGGCGAATCAGCAGATATAACATCCCTAGAACCGCCGTTCCTCAATAATGTTGCCTTTTGCAGAACTTCATAGGCTTAGTAGAAAATGCCTCATTTGGAAGCACAGCTCTTCTATACGTTACATTATTTACCTTTTCATATTTTTGGATGTATATTCTGTGCAAAAAACCGTGACTTCTGTAGGAACAGATCGATCCGCTTGTCTGTTGTACGTTCACGATACCATTCGCATATGTACAGAGCTATTATCCCCCGCGGACGATAAACCTCACTGAGCATACGCTGATGGAATTCCAAGGTCGACAGGGCACTTTATGACTTTGTGCAGCCAGTTGACCGTCAAAAGAAAGCACCAGACAGTCGGTTTCTTTATGCACAAACAATCCGTGCACGTTTGTGTGTATGCTATTACGGTTGATAGCCAAACTGGATCGAACAGAAGAATATCATACCGGTTGAGGCCGGATGATGAATCATTTCTATCCCTTGTTAGTTCACAATCCATCTATAACAATGTTTCCCCGGTGCACCGTTCCCAAATCGTGGGTTCTAAAGAGTCGAACAATCAATAAGTTCCGCTTGCCTTCACAAAACATCACACTTGACCTGAGTCTTGAGGTAGGGTTGGATACAAACCATAGACTATCACTAACTTCATCCCCGCGCGGATCAATCATTGTAGTGCCCGTTGGGGTGTATAATTATCTTCCTCTCGCCCTCTCACTAAGATGTGACATCAAGTTTTGACCCAATGATAGTATCGGTTTCCCTATCATCACTTGATGTCAGATCGATCTGGTGGGGCCCAAGAAAGCAAAAAACGAGGTTGTGCGAATGAAAAACCGAAAGGGGCAAGGCACGTAGCAGACTGTTACAGCTTTAAATCAGAAGGACAGACGCTGATGATACAGAGCCAGCTGACGAGTGATTTCTACGTTTCTGCAAAAGTCTGTCAAATTTTTTCGGACCACATCAACTCTCTAACAGCTAGTTGGCCTTTAAGATAGAAATAATAGAAAGTGCACGTGAACAGTTGAAATATAAGTAGGATTATTGCACCATTGTCGTAGGGACCACCCTTCATAGAATGATCGGTATGTGTATCCGCCATAGTAGTAGTATGCACGTGAAGACTGTCCACTTTTTGAAACACCGGACTTGTGAGATGTCCAATTTTAAATTAAATCAGAATTAAGCCATTTAGTTAGCTTCTTTCAATCGTCCCTTATGCAGGTGTCCACTCAAAAGACATGCATGCTTAGTTACATAGTGTTGCTTCGGCACAAGAGAGATTCTACGAAGCGACAAACTTCCAGAAATAGCCTCACTGTTAGTGTCATCATGTTGAAAATAAGGCCAAATAGTAAAAAACGCTCATTTGCACACTAACTTAGGGTTTTAAGGGGAGACTCAGCGGAACCAAGCTGAATCTGTCGTTGAAAGTGTTGTTTCCGAGGCCCGCGCCTATCCCGTGAGACCCAAGAGAGGAGAAACGGGTCATGACTGCTGAAGAGCTTTCAGAAACCTGATGACTAGTCTCGACAGGGCTAAATGACCTCACTAAGCTCGATGAGAAAGTGCTGAACCAACTAATTGCTGTTAGCATATGCTTCTCTCATCAACTTTCATGGGCATAGAAATCGCTACCAGTTGTCAGCGTTGACGGCAAACTCAGTGAACGATATGAGATGCAGTAGAGGATGGCGAATGAGACTCATTCAATTGCTATCAAAATTCATACAATGAATGGGATTAAGCCTTTAATGAGTTCATTTCAATCGGTAGGAATCGGGTTCACTTGATCTAGTACCGCAGGAAGTTGGGCCCCAAAAGTCCTACTCTAAGGAAGCTACCTGAACGCATTGATTGGATCTGGTCCTGTTTATGAAGAGGTATATTCAAGGTTTTCTAGCAATATTTCTAACTGAATTATGTTTAACTGAGTGCTTCTCTTTCAAATTTCGCCACCCTGTAGATTGTAAACCAACCTGACGTTCTTCGATCAGTAGCGCGTTTATAGATATCATCCTCTGAGAAGGGGGTAAAAGTTGACAGCCGAACAGGAACTGTCCTGAAGAGGAGTCCCCTAAAAAGAAGGGTAACTTACTCTGGATAGATTGACAGAGATTACGTGGTTGTGAAGAAAATTCATTTCCAGATATGGTGTTCCGAGAAAACACTTATTTACTATCACTGAAAAGACTGGACACAAGTCAAAGGCTAGAGAATGTGAGTCAGCTTATCTTTACTTCAGATTGGGATACAATAAATTGCAGGTAGGGTGACAAACAATTTAGGAAAGACCTGTTTCAATCAAATCGCAATCTGTTTTTTTGCTTCAGCTTCAAGTTCTGAGCATGCTGTGTTCACGCGTTTCCATCAATTTGCAGGATATATTGTTAGTATATCGAGTAGTGAGTTTCTTCATCCTACTCCAGCCGTGAATCTTACCGTACACACTGCCTGAGGGTTGAGATCAGAATGAATCCGGTTATTTACCCATCATATGGCACGGTGACGTCAATTACATTCAGTGACTACTTGTGGCCGCGATTCAGAAATTTGACAGTTTTCGCACGGGTTTTAACACGAAGTGGAAATTTCAACGGATATATTTACATACGTAGTGTTCATACATATACGAGCGTTTTACTTTAGGGTGATTCCTGCTTGAAGCTGACTAATTTTGGCAGGTTCTAGGATTCTTATAGCAACTCCACCGATCCCTTCGTTCTTGGGCAATTGAATTATCAGTGCGCCAAGGGTGCAGCCGTTGGAGATGAAGTTCCAGATGTTGCGCGCCACTCAAAATGGCATCTTTGAAGAGACAAAATGCCTATTAGATCGCATCCTGATGGATGTATCTAAGTTGATTTAGGACAATTTCTTACTATGATGTATCCGACTTTTTCTCCGTGGTTATCAACAAATTGTTTTGCCTATTAAGTACTGCTAAATAGTTTTTTGGATAGATCACCCTCATACCAGTTTTGTATGCCTCTGAGAATTTAAGCTTTGATCGATTTTTAATTGTTCCTTTGGACTTTACTACGCATTCCAGTTATCCGGAATAAAATAGTAAACGACAGCAACCGCGATTCGAACTCAACTTACCCGGCACTGTCAGGGTCTGCGTAAATCAAGCCACCAAACTGTTGGGAGTACTTATAATCCTGACCCTGCAAAAGCCTTGAAGTCAATAAGACCGTTAACAGGCCTATCCAGCCTTTCATTTCATTCATCATTTCGACTGACCGGAGTGTAACTACGCTGGCTGCACGTCTGTGGACACCTATTTATTCTCCACATCAGTGCACACAAATGTATACATGCAGATTAACAGGTAATTCATTACAGGTGTTCAACTCAGGTACCGCCTATGAAATGCATGGCAGTGAATGCAGCATGTTACCCCATGTTAATCAAGGACTTATCACCAACCCAGTTGTTTACCATTCGAGGATTAGGTCGTGATTCCTGTTCAGACTACTAGCCTTGGGCTGAGTAGTATAATTGAGAAAGACTGGAAAAGAAAGACAGCTGGAACGAGTAATTGAACGTCACCAATATTGCTCGTCCTGAGTTTAGCAGTGCTGCCCTTTTTTCCGTAAGATGTATCTCAAGCTTTTGTGAAAATTCACTAAAACGACGAGCTGGAATTCAGTTTTCGTTAACTACAGTAAACTAAATTTCAATCAATTGGAAAATGTTTTGGACCGATTTGGGATTCATCGTTTTAGGGAGGTTTGGTAAACAATCGGTGGATTTATTGCTGGACAACGTTTCGCTTTTGACACAAAAGCTTCGTCAAGCCAGTTGTGTAAGTAAGTAAGTTGATTGGGTTTTAAAGCAGTCAGGGAATCAATCCGTGAGATTCCTTATGACTAGCCGACTTGATCGGTGCTGGGTGTTTAGTCTGATGTTCCTGTTTGTTGGTTGGTGGGGTGGACTAAAATTCACGAAGTCATCTGCCGCTATGGTGCAACCGTGGATTATTGCACTGAGTTCGTATACCTACACAATTGTTCATCGTAGTGCAGAAATGATTGCTCAAGCCGATTTCTTGTCAAGAATTCCATCATGCGACTCTGATTCAAACAATTCAGATTGTCTGTTGATTCAACCATTACCAGTCAAGCAGGATGTGATTGTGGCTGACACTAAAAAAATACTTCGCTTCTATTTTTTCTGCACCGCGACGTGGCTGGACGCAGCAAGAACGATGCCGATTTCCTGCTTTTTACTGTCGCCGCGAAGGCTCATCCGTTACTCTGGATGGTTTGCTGTGTTTTGATAATAGAGTTGTCATTCCACCGACTCAGCGAGCGGCTGTTCTTGCAGATTTGCAATCTGGTCATCTGGGTGTCGATAAAATGAAATTCCTTGCACGCTTGTCATGCTGGTGGCCGGAACTGGATGCTGATATCAAGCATACTACTGAGAATTGTGTTGAATGTGTACATAAGATTCATAACAAGTCTTCACAGTGGTATCCGTGGCCAGTTACTTGTGAAGCATTTCAACGAGTTCATGCTGACTACTGTGGTCCTTTTCTCGGTAAATACTATGCTTTAGTCGTTATTGACGCATATTCATGCTGGCCTGAAGTTTTTCTAACTACGTCTCCAAGTGCCGAATTCACTCAGCAAGCATTGAGGAAAGTGTCCAGCCGTAAAGGTGTACCAATTGTTCTGGTCACTGACAACGGTACACACTTCACTGCAAAATTCCTCGAGGAATGGTTAAAGGGTCTTGGATGTCGACATCTGTTTACTGCACCGCGACATCCCCAGTCGAATGGACTTGCTGAGAATTCTGTTCATACACTAAAGTCTGCCATTATTTCATTCTCTCCTATAACTTTTGTGGATTTGGACCGTGGGTTTGACAATTTTTTAAAGCAATACAGAAATGCTGTTCATTCCGTTACTGGGAGGAGTCCCGGGCTTCTATTTAAATCTCGTTCGTTACGTACAAGTCTTGACTGTGCCAAAACAGCTGATGTTACATTTTTCAAGGGTAATGAGTTAAGACCTGCTACAGGAATAGTACTTTCATCAACTGGCAAACGAATGGTCACAATTCTCGATTTGGATGATCTCTCTTGCCACCGGAGACACATTGACCAGGTTGAGTTCAATACCAGAGGTCAGTCTGTTAACGGCACTCCTGCTGTTTCAAATACTAATGAATCCTTTGTAGATGATTTTATGGTATCCAAACAAAACGTTGTATCCGAAAAACGCATACGTGCTACTTGTTACGCTGATCTGAATTCTGGATTTCTAGTTCATTTGGTTATACTGATATACGTCCGAAACTTAATTCTCACAAGTGGTTATCGAGGAGGGTTTGTCTTCATGATGCAACCGGATTCTTTGTCCTTGCTTTTTCAGTCTAGGACACCTTGATGGAAAATTCCTCGTGGAGTCGTTCACAGATTTCGTTCACCTATGTTCGTCAAAGGGTGCCGGGAAGCTTTTGTGTCAAAAGCGAAACGTTGCCCAGCAATAAATCCACCGATCGTTTTACCAAGCCTCTCTGAAACGATAAACTAATTTTCATTCCAAGAACTCAATAATTCAGAACTGAGGCTTTCAGTAGAGGACACTGGATTCGGCCAACTTTTCAGCTATCCCATGGGACCTGGAGCTCACGCAGTGAATTTTTCGTGTTCGTCTTCCTTGTGAAACGCAGCAAACTAGGCAGAGTACAACCAATGATCTTTTCGACCCGGAAGCTTGGTCAGTCATCCCGTATTTGTTTACTGTAGTGTATAAGAACGGCAGAAAATACCATGGAATTCACGGACTACTGAGTTGGAGAACACCATCACTAAAGGTAGTAAAAAAAGTATCGATCCGAGCCAGAAACAAGGAACAAATATAGATTTATCGACCCAAAATTGACAGTTTGCTGGTCGTCCTTGTGGCCCGCCTAAGGAAAGGCTTTATTGCCCACAAATCTCATTCTCTATCTGGGGCATTCGTATTGACCCACAAGAGAAGCGACATGGTAAGTGGGTAAGTTGGTTTGCCATAGCACTATCCGAAATGTGTTACAGTGTCCCGGTTTCCGATGAACATTGATCTCGGTGTTCTAAAAGCCGACTAACAGTACCGTAGTCATTTCTGTGCAAACAACCAGAGGTATGTGTCCGGGTGATCAGAGACCATCAAATGCCATCAAGTGACCTAAGCTGATCATAATTCACCGTAATTAGCCTCCTGGGACGATTGGTGTTCCCGACTGTGAACACGGTTAGCAAAGAGTGGCGGGCATCGGAAAATTGATTTTTCAGGGTCAGGCGGAACTTGACCTGCATACAAGTATGTATCAGTTCAGTCACGTACAGTCGTCGGTCATGTGCGTGGGGCCACCGATGTGTCTAGAATAGTACTGCTTCTGATGCCGGTAGACTAAGCTCTGGTGAACTCTGGAGACTGCCGCCGGGAATAACTGCATATTCTTAATTTTGGTGTTAATTTGGATTTTGACAGCGTTGGCATCCCATTAGAAAACGCAGCTTACGTCCAGCTATTAGAAGTGGTGAACCGGAATCGGTCTTGCCATGCACAAAAGTTCAGTATTCCATCAAGAGCTGGAGTAAGAAGCCATCATAGTGGTCCGCATGATAAAGATCAGCTAAGAAGCGCGAGACAATGACTAGGATACAACTGGTTTTCTCAGCGACTCTTAATCTTTGCGAGTGATGTGGCGTGGTTCTTGTTCTGTCCATTTGCAGAAGCAGAAGGCTGTCAGACGTGGAGCCCTGATTTGAGTGTGGGGCTGTTGGGATGCCTTTGTCTCCTATCCGTGTGTTAATCATGAGGAAGGCGACCTCAGGCATCTTGGCGGTGCTTCACATCATTACTTAAAGCAATCAGCACAACTTGTTGCCACTCCGAGTGATACAAACTGGACTGTTCACATCAACCCCTAGGCTCTGAGTTGACCCCCAGGTTGTGAACTGAGTTGCCCAATTACTCGTGGGGCTTTGTTTCAGCGCAATGTTCACAGTTAGGGTAGAACTCAGAAACGTCATTGTGTGGCCAGGACTACCGAAACCGCCATCAAATTGCCTCCGTTGTCTTGTGTACGCCTCTATGGCCTAAGTCTCATGGACCACTAGAACCTTGCACTGTGGGGTCACTAGCCTCGCGAAGTGAATTGACTTCTCCGCTATACACAGTGTTTTTTGATGATGCGGAGTTTAGCACATTTAACACAGAGGAAGCGTTGTTTGTGGGTACTTGAAACCTTACGACCACCTGGTGGCTCATTTTTGTCACGTTCGCTGAGATGTAGCTGTTTTTAAATTTCGTCTGCTTTTGGTGCGAACAATATAGTGATGTGAAATGCGCGGAAACAAGTTGGCATTTCAGTTTGGTGAGGTGGAGAAGCTCTCAGTAGTTCTGAATGGCCCAGAGTTATGTTGTACACTAAGACCTGATAGACCCATCAGTTTCGCTGCTGGAGGATGAGTTTGTGCTGTTGTATTGGACCGGACGAGCGCCGTAAAGAAAATCAATGCATTTTCAGACGCACTATCTGGAAGTACAGGAGGATAAATAGGTTATTTAGTACAAGGAAAGGGTTCAGTGGGCCAGGACACACCCTCTTCTGGTGTGGTTGGGGGCAGTTTGTTTGTATTTCCAATTAGGAGTCTTAGCGGGCACTAGAAGACAACCGAAGGTATGAAGACAACAGTTACCGGTGTGCCATCAGATTGGGTACAGAAGTGCCGTGCCGTCGATGCATTGAAAAAAAAATTAGTTTCTTGACAGCGCACAATTGCACTTCAAAGTTGAGATGTTTGGACAAGCGATGTGCATTTCTGTGGTTAATTGGGTGTGGGTTAACCAAGAAAAGCAGCGCAGGTAGAATGACGCCGACACAGAAACACAGGCAATTTTGGTTCAGTTGGAGGTTCGTCGGGGAGGAAAGTGGGGGAAGGCGAGACGGATAGCGACCAAACGGGGATTTTGAAGCGGCCATTGCTGAAGATGGAAACCTGAAAGAAGAAAAGAATGGGATGAGACCAGTAGGGTCTGGAGGGTGTGGAACTGTATTCAATAGTATGGGTGTCACAGATAGAAAGATCTAAAGCCTGATGACGCTTGACGAGTGATTGCAAATGGTAAAATGGTATTCGTGTTAAGCGGCCCAGAAATCAATGACCTAGGTTACAAATACAATGCTAATGGAGTAAAAAGAGATATGGACGAGCCAGTGTACACACTGTCCAGAGGGCGGTTGATGTGGAAAAGAAAAGTAGAGAG